GGAATTGCCTGCAATGAAAATTACATTGGTGCAAGGTGTTTTTCTACAATACAGGCTCACAGTTAGAAATAAAAAGGAATATCTGGTTTTGCAGCTAAGCTGTAAAATATCTAATTTCGAAACAAAATCCCAGTCACATTGATAGATGTGTGGGTGTGGCTGCTTGTCCTAGTCTGGACTAATGCTGATTTATAGTGCTAGCCAACTGAGATGCCATGCCGCAGTTTAACATGAATACCCCACTCAGACACAGTATACTGACTCCGAGCCGACCAGTCCTTGTTTTAGCCCCTTAATGCCGAGCGCCAGACAGGATAACAACAAGTACCATCTTTTAACGTCTTTTGGTATGACGTGGCTGGGGATCGAACCCAGGACTACCCGGACCCATGGTTAGTCATGTGACACATGGTTAAATGACAATAACAATAAAATTCCATGGTTACACTAGTACAACTCACTAATGTTCACATTTCTTTCTGACTATGCACACATTCCTTCTGACTTTTATATGTTTGAGTAAAGACAAAGCGTCAGTCAACTTCAGTGTATGCATGATCAGATCGTTTTACACTATATCTAAACACTTTTTGCCAGGGCTCCGATAAAACAATTCCCAATTGAACATTTTGTACCTACTCTTGAGACCTACAGTGGGTACCTGGGTAGGGTCGGGTAATAGGGGGTTGGGTATCTGGGTAGTAAATTTCCCTTCTACTGAGCTATAGCCCTATTGCCTATGCTTTGTGGTGCAGAGTTGCTCCTTTAGGAGCACGAAACAATGCTAGAAACCTATGATAGGGTTTGAATCCCGGCTTTCCCTTATACTGTTTCTAGGTTTGTCTACATCATGCTCATGGTTTTACCAAAGCGGTAAATGCCAAAGACCAGGGCCCACTTGCACAAAGCAAATCAAGCTAAGATGAATGTAACTCCCATACTTTAACATAGGCTTAAGATAATCTTGGCACTAAGATGGCTTTGTGCAAGTGGCCCCTGCACTGTATTTTCTAGAGTATAGCATACACTTTTTTCTGAAAGAAGGGCAGCTAACGTAAGATTTCAAGTAGTTTTGGTTCTTTGGGCTTTCCTCCCAAATCGCGATGACATGCACCACCGTCATATAGCTGGCATATTGCTGAGTGAGGTGTTAAACAACAAACAAACAAACCAAACGATGACATGCTGTGCTATATAACTGACATGCTGTTCAAAGTGGCATCAATCACAACTCACTCACTAGTTAGCACATCATCAGTGGCAAGAGCTTCGCCCATCACTATTTATGAAAGCACTGTTGCTAGGAAATGTATCCAATGCAAAAAAACATAAAAAATCAACCCCTCAATCACACTGAAATCAACCCAAACAGCATCTCGGGACCATTTCATACACTCTTTTCAAAAGAGTATGATTTTTGCTTACAAATCAGCCACATAAACAAAATGCAAAGCAACCTACACACTTTTTTCATTAGATTTTTTTGGTTTGGTTTGTTGTTTTACGCCGCACTCAGCAATATTCCAGCTATATGACAGCGGTCTGTAAATAACTGAGTCTGGACCAGACAATCCAGTGATTAATATCATGAGTATCGATCAACGCAATTGGGATCGATGACATGCATCAACCAAATCAGCAGGCCTGACCACCCGATCCTGTTAGTCGCCTTTTACAACAAGCATAGTCACCTTTTACGACAAGCATGGGTTGCTGAAGATCTATCCCGGATCTTCACAGGTATTTTTCATTAGAACAGTAGCTATGGTCATGATAGATTTACTATAGTCATATAAAAACTTTGGGTGTTCTTTAACTCTTTTTGGGTAGTACATATAATACACAGATCTCACAAAGAGTTAAATAGGTCAAGTTCAGGAATCTATTAGTGAGTGAGTGAGTGAGTGAGTATGGTTTTCCGCCGCTTTTAGCAATATTCCAGCAATATCATGATGGGGGACACCAGAAATGGGCTTCACACATTGTACCCATGTCGGGAATCAAACCGGGGTCTTCGGCGTGACGAGCAAACGCTTTAAACACTAGGCTACCCGACCGCCCCAAGAATCTAATAATGTCAATTAACTTCACTTTTGTGGGAAAATCTGTTCAAACCATTCCTAACAAGCCGTGATTATTGAAAAAGAGCAGAAACAGCTCCCTTATAGAGCTCTACAGTACACAAAGAAAATATTGATCTCTGAAGCGAAAAACATTTTCACAGCAAGTATGTTCCTCTTGATCTCTGTGAACACATCCCCGATTCCTGTAACAGGAGCCTACAGCCTTCACGAACTGTCTAGAATGATTACATCACATAATTACTGTCTTCTAACCTAACATTTCAAATCTACAGAGGAATAGACATGGTATATAGATCAAATACATTGTAATTTACTTGTTTATATAATTGTACTCACTTGTGTAGTTTAAGCATGGAATTTAGGAAATATGCAAAGAAAACAACAATACACCAGCTGATACACATGCTGAAATATTATTGAGAAGTGTTTCGAAAAAGGGGTTCCTGGAGTCTTTGAGATTTGGTCCTAAGTATTTGAACCTCGGGACCCCGGAGCTTTTAACTCGTAACACTAGGATTATGACAAAGACACTTGACTTTCTTGAGACTATTAAATCTCCTCCATACAGCCTAAAATCACAGACAAGTATGCCAAATCAAGATGAGTCAAGATCAAGACCTTCCGCTCTCTGAGTAGATGCTATACTACCACAGTATGTGTACAAAATAGAGAGAAATGTTTTGTGGATTATGCAGAAACAAGTGGATGATTTGTTTGACTGTGATATTAATCCAGTCAAAAGTGAGGAGCTGGCGTTGTTCTTTCTTAGTAATTTTGATATAAAAACTGTTGTGACTTTATACATAATTATCTGTACTGGATGTATGGTGTCAGTTATTAACTCACAGCTTTCAGACATGGGACCCATGCCAATTTACACTTGTCAGAGGGGTACACAAAGTATGTGATCTAGACGACCAGTTGTCGGACTTTCATTTTGTGGAAGCCTCGGTGGCTGAGTGGGTTAGATCGCTGTGTGCTGGTGATTAGGTGCCTCACTCTGGCAGTGTGGGTTCGAATCCTGGATGGGACTCAACCTAAATATGTATGAGAAACCGTACTTCACTAAGAAAGCGTTATCCCAAATATAACATTTGTTACATGTTATATTAACTCACAGTCTCACTTTCTGATATCAATGTGGCTTTACACCTCATGGTGACAAAAAATGTTCAAACATCACCATAACTGTTCCTTAAATGTGTATACTAATAATAAAATACTATCAACAAATTTTTCTTTCAGTTTAGCATCCATACGAAATACATCTGGCTGCAGTGGATCATATGACACATGCACTAACCATACTAATGTACATCAGAACTAAAATTTGCATGACAACTTTAAAAACACAATCTAATTCTATTAAATGTTTGCATGCATTAATCATATTGATCACCGTTATACTGCAATGTGTGTGATAACTATGGCAACACATTGTATATAGAAATAATAACACATGTATAAGAAAAACTTATTAATAGACAAGCTGGTCCATTTTCATGATAATGTGATGTAATCTTTAACACTAATAACAGAAACAATGATGTTGAACAAAAATATGGCATAGAAACACAGGTTATTAGTAAATAAACTATTTATTTGATATTTACTACTCAAACAAAGTTAAAGAACACCCAATTTGTTCATACAATTGGTAAATCTGTCAAGTCATTACAATAATAACTATAGTCATATATAAAAAATTGGCTTGTTATTTAACTTCTTTTGAGTAGAATGGATACTCCAAGCCTACTGGAATTCATGGTTTCCAACACCAACAGGTTCCAGACCAAGATGTGTGTGTGTGTGGGGGGGGGGGGGGGGGTGGGGGGGGGGTGTCACTTTACAATTATTATAAAACATTCATTAGATGTAGTGAGTGAATGTTATCGCAAAGTGCAGTTTCAGTATTACGTACAGTTATATCCCAGCAGCCTATCAGTAATCAAGTCCAGATGAAGCACACTAGTGGTTGATAGCATGAGCAACAACCCATAAGGGGACTGCTATATACCGCTCAACTTACGATAGGGATAATCAGATATGTCTTTTTATTCAATAGTCACTTGTGATCTTATGTGAACCCGTTTTGTGTATCATAGAAAACTACATATCCCTGTCAAAAGTGGAGTGGTATATTTTGAGGGGCATGACATGACAACAACAATGATGAATCACATGCTGATGACACATTCTGCAAATCTGAATTGTGACCAATTTACATCATTGTTATGAACGAATGTTTGGGAAGATCAAATGATGTCAACAAACGTTGACCCTTTGCTACATTGCATGTTGAAAATTCCTGATTACAAGGCACTTTAACATGCTACAAGAACATCTGCATCAAAACCACATAGCTATATGCTGGACATACTGTTACAACAGGGGTCCTGCGACTCCCCATCCACACTCATGGTGCATCTGACTTGGCTGCATGGGCCTCCACAGAAAAATCAATATGTGAGGACTGACCTGTTCAGTGCCTTTAAGAGTGCATTATCGTGCACATCTGTCAGTTACCCAAACAACAATAGCAACATAAAAGTCGAGCAAGCGATAATCTATAAGCATGAAAACAGACCCAGAGAGCATATTCAAGTAAGAACAAAACTTCTTGGGAGTTTCCGGCATAAAAATTCCTCAATGCATGGGTATCCCCTTCAAATTCTAGTGCCAACTACACAAGTGTTCATTGTCGATAGTTGCTAAAACCGCATCTGTCAAATAATCCTACAGTCTGTCCACACTGACAAGCAGGTGATTCTCACTGTCAACACACCCCATGCATTCCATCGCTACAGTGCCACTGGGACACACCCTGCCCCGACCGTTTGCATGCTGAGAGTGAGAGCTTTCACTGAGCGCACCTGTTTCGCGTTCTACGTCAGGAGTCAGAAAGTGCCAACTTACCACGAAAACTAAGGTGTAGAGAAACAACAGAAGTTTGTTGCAGCTATATGCAGTGCAGGCACACATAGATCTCCGAGGGTGCTTTCTGTTCGGGCGTAATTCCGGGAGCATTCGCTCCATGCCTTCAGACCCTGCCGCCATTGTGTTCGTTTGATGACCTAGATGGTCGGGGCTTGATCACATGACAGTCACATGACAAATTCCGAAACTATATAATGATGGCGGGGAATTTAAAACAAGATGAACGTTGATCGATTTTCATTTCAAGGAGTTTTTGTCCCTTTCCCCAGATCTATATATATTTTACAATACTTGTTTACCAGTTGTTTACATGTAGTTGATTTCCGGTTAAAAAGAGATGTTAAACAGACGTTGATTTTCGTGTCATGTGTAAAATTGATTCGATCATTGTCTAGGTGCCATATTAGAGTATTTTTTAACCACTATATTTATGTGTACCATGACAGTTGATTTTGAAGACTAACAAAGAGCGTTTAAAAGACGATCAATTTCCTGGGACTAAGGGTGCCGGACCCCTTTTGGTACTCCGGGTGTCGAACCCTGTGGTATTCTGGATACGGCAGAGCACTGCGCTGGATGCCATTTCTTTGTACGTGGATACCAATATTTCAATTTGGAAAATTATTTTTCGTCGTTTTGGGTGACAAATCAAAAGAATTATTTAGCTCTAATATGTTGAGCACGTATATGTAGTCATACACTTTGTGTGAAAATCCCAGCGAGCTTGACCACCCGATCCCGTTAGTCGCCTCCTAAGGCAAGCTTACTCGTTTTTTCACAGCAAGCATGGGTTGCTGAAAACCTATTCTACCCCGGATCTTCACGGGTTGTTATATTGATGTGATACATCAAACCGATAATCTTGATATCACAACACGATAAGTATGCAAATGAGGTGACCTTGCAGAAACTACTTATAATACGCTGCACGCACCGACGCGTTGTTCACTTGCCCAAAACACTTTTGATGTTTCCGACACAGGAACCGCTTCGGCGGCTAATAATCTCTATTTCAGGGGGCGGTTGGGTAGGCTTGTAGTTGAACCGTTCGCTCGTCAAGCCGAAGTCCCGGGTTCAGTTCCCTACATGGGTACAATGTGTAAAGCCCATGCCGTGTGTCCCCCGCCGTGATGTTGCTGGATTATTGCTAAAAGCGGCTTAAAATCCATCTCACACACTATTTATTTCACAGTCGGTAGTTCAACACGACCAACCACGGGCTGCACAGGCAAAACGTACATATCGCAGAAGCATAGGTCAAACAGCGCTTCTTGGCTTACATGCACCAGGTTCGAACCTTTTTGTTTTAGTTGTGAGAGGTGAGTTGAGGCTAGGTGAAATTGGGTTTAACGTCGCGTCCAAGATTATTGCACTTATATAGCGACGTGCATGCACGTGTGTGTGTGGCTGCTTGTACTAGTCCGGACTGATGCCGATTTATAGTGCTAGCCAACTGAGATACCATGCCGCAGTTTAACATGAATACCCCACTCAGACACAGTATACTGACTCCGAGCCGACCAGTCCTTGTTTTAGCCCCTTAATGACGAGCGCCAGACAGGGTAACAACAAGTACCATCTTTTAACGTCTTTTGGTATGACGTGGCCGGGGATCGAGCCCGGACCTTCCGCTCTCCGGGCGGACGCTCTACCACTAGACCACGGAGGCGGTCTCAGTGGTGAGACATTGAATCACGTGATGTGAGAGTTTCTCTTTAAACAAGCAGCTCTTCGAAAACTTCGTATTCAAGATCAATACCGCAAACCGTTTCCTAAACATACGAATGCATGCTAACGTTTTAGATGCAACTATGAACTAGTATTGAAGGAATGCACTTAAATAACTCGACGTAGCGAACACTTCAGTCAAAGAAACCCTAAACCAAGAAAGAACGTGGAAAACAATCTCCACTTCACGGTCAACGATGGCGTATTTTATGTACGCTTCAAATATCACCGAATCTCGCGATAGTTGACTTATTGAAGAAAGATTCGCACGCTATCAAGTTGTTTCACGCACCGATCATGTATCATGGGATGGATGATAGGGACGTCTCTGCGTGTACTTTGGCCTTCTTCCCAAACAGCTGGTCATGAACCTCCCTCAAAAACTGTCCTGATATATTCTCATTACCTCTCTTCCCTCGACGTGAATATGAGCGTGACAAGTGCACATGTACGTCACCATTCAATCCCTCCTGGTACCCTTTCAACAGCTGGGTAGACTTTCGTGACCACTTGTGTCACTCCGGGAAAATGGAATTCTGGTAGGTTACGGAAAAAGACGAATGGGGATGAATACTGGGTAATTCAACCAACTCGTGTTATTCCGGGACAAGCATCTTGCAGGTTATGGAAAGGGGCGTGTGGTGACGAATGTGGTAAATCAGAGTAATGTTCAGAAACCATCTCGCCCGTGAAGCGCCGCACCAGTCGGAGGAGTGTCAGGTGACTCGGGGACAGGCACTTGACCACTGAACTACCGTGTCCGGCTCTGACATTGATCTAACATGTTTAAGTGAGTGAGTGAGTATAGTTTTACGCCGCTTTTTGCAATATTCCAACAATATCACGGCGGGGGACACCAGAAATGGGCTTCACACATTGTACCCATGTCGGGAATCGAACCCGGGTCTTCGGCGTGACGAGCGAACGCTTTAACCACTAGGCTTCCCCACCACCCTCATGTTTAAGGGACCGGTCATTTATAATAGGGGGTCGGGGTGTGGTGGGTGGGGTAGGGGTGTGAGAGGGTATCATCAGGAGAGGGTGACAAAAACATGATAGTTCCTAGCGGAGGGTTGTAAACATGAATCCCATATTTGGGAGAGTTGTGAATATAATGAACAAGGACATGGGGAGGGTCATTATTTTTAGTACAATAGTTCATAAAAAACACAGACCGCCCCAACCCCTCTGCCCCCCGTAAAAAAATGACCGCTCCATAAGCAGCCACTGTCGTTCTGGCGAGTTAGCCTCCCGCCATGATTGTGTTCATAGACACTAGTGCGTACGTCTATCGCCGGTCTTAGTCCTCGTCATTATAATAAAGTTGTATATACCCATGATACGTGTACTTTGAGTTTTTTTCCAAACGGCTTATAAAGTTCTGTGGTAAGTCTACAGGTTGCTGTAACTAAATATTACCATATTCACATGCATACAATCCCGGTTCGCCCCGATTATGTTTCTAGGTTTGTCAGCACCATACCCGTGCTCGTGGGTTTCACCTAAGTGGTAAACGCCTGAGACCTGCATCACTTCGGGCACTTCGGGCTTTCCTCCCATGCTGTTCAAAGCGGCGTTAAACCCAACTCACTCACTCACTCACTCACTCACTCACATTCATACAAAATGTATTTAACTTAGTGTGCCTAATTTATTTTCCAATGGCTGTCGTAGAGAAGCGTCAGATATATATATATATATATATATATATATATATATATATATATATATATATATATATATATATATTATGCCAAAAAGCATGGAATATCGGGAATCATGAAGACATATCCTCTGATCTATATGGAATTGGTAAATGGAAATGATAGGATCATAATCTGTTCGGTAGTGGGCGATCAGATCTAATGGGTTTTAATGGTTGGTGTGATGAGACTGTGGCGCACAAGGTCGTTAAAGAGGTCGGGGGGGTCAAATTCGAAATTTGCATTTTGCAGCCGACGTCACTAATGTCGGGTCACCTCTGTTGGGTGGACATGCACGAATTCTTCGAGGCATGCGTCTGATGAGTCGACCAATGTCAGCCCATGTTATTCCACTCATAAGTGAGAGCAGCACAGCGTTCATGGAGAGTGGTGGGTGGATTATGGCGTTGACGTGTTAAATGGGTGTAAGGTCAGGACTGAGTTCTGGTCATGGCATGACATGGATGTTTTGCTGCTGGAGGAACTGGGTCACAATCCTGGCACGATGAGCACGTGCATTACCACCTTGAAGGACGAAACGTTGCTCAACACGTAATGCAAATGACACCAGGGTAGGTGAAAGGTGTTGTCCCGATAGCATTAATCTGTGACTGCCATGGACAATATGGAGCGCAGTTCGGCCATTCATTGTGATACCGCCCCATACCATGATGGACCCAGTCCCAAAAGTATAATTCTGTACGACGTGAGCGTTCACGATACGCGTGAAGATCTGGGGTAGAATAGGCCTTCAGCAACCCTTGAAAGGGTAAAAGGTGACTATGCTTGTCGTAAGAGGCGACTAATGGAATCGGGTGGTCAGGCTTGCTGACTTGGTTGATGCATGTCATCGATCCCATTTGCGTGGATCGATGCTTATGATATTAATCAATGGATTGTCTGGTCCAGACTCGATTATATACAGACCGCCGTCATATAGCTGGAATATTGCTGAGTGCGGCGTAAAACACCAAACCAACAAACTAACTCGATCCCTTCGGTCAGTGAAGTGAGTGAACCTCGTTTCATGAGAAAACATGCCATTGCTCCAACGTCGATTATCCCAGTGCTGATGTTCCCTACACCACTGACGCCTCTGATTCAAATGGCGTGCAGTAAGTTGTGGGATGACACGTGGACGTCGTGCACTAACATGCCATCAGTACAGACGATGTCGCACCGTCTGGGCACGTACCCTCGCACCAGTTGCCTGTTGCAACCGGTACCTTTTCTGAGTGGCAGTTTGCAACCGATTTGTTGTCATCATTCTGATTCATTTTTCCATGGCGTCTAGAACGGCGTCGATCATTTACGTTGTGTGTTTATTACTATCGGTCCCATAATCTGCTGATGACAGATCGAGAAACATGCAGCGTTTGGGCAACAACATTCCTGCCCACCTGCAACATGCCTAGTGCACGTAATGGTTCAGCACGATGCAAACATGGGGTGATAAATGTTGTTGCTTCCTTAATGATTAAATGTGCCCTTGCACGTGCTGTCCGGGGTCACGTGCTTCATGACTGTCACATTGTTGTTTTGGTGTCCTTGATTTCCTCGGAAATGTACTTGCCACATAAATCACGTACTTTCATTACCATCGGTGTATTTTCCTGTAGTGTCACGTCAAAACAAAATGTCCCCTACTTTTTAGCACAGTATATTTCCGGGCATTGCTTAAATCCCACTTTCACTCTGAAGGGGAAGAATATAACTGTGTATACAGTAGTATTACATATCACAACTACCCAGTCTAGTGTATCTGAGTATATACACAACCTTTGGCCTCTGGAGTACATCAAACATATTTCAACAGAGTGAGTGAGTATCGTTTTACGCCGCTTTTAGCAATATTCCAGCAATATCACGGCGGGGGACACCAGAAATCGGCTTCACACATTGTATCCATATCGGGAATCAAACCCGGGTCTTTGGCGTGAACGAGCGAAAGCTGTAACCCCTAGGCTACCCGACCGCCCCTATTTCGACAGAACGTTGACACGTATTTTAATGATAAAGGTTTCGTAACATATTATCACTTATAAGAAGTACAACAGGGTGCTGTGTATTATCCACTAAATCAATGACGTCACTCCCCCTTGTGCTGTACTACAAATGCCACCTTGTCATGACATTCCGTGCAACATATAATTTTATTTTATGGTAAAAAAGGAAGTATACCTACTGCATATATAAGGTCTCTTGGAAAATAGACTTTAGGGAAGTTGTGTTTTGATCGTATTTATTTCCTTTAGATGATATTTCGGACAAATTAATGTCTGATTGTACCCATGTATGTATATCGTAAATAAAACTACATTGAAAAATATTGTGCAAATAAATGAACTATGCTAGAAACTATAGATCAGCGTGATCCATTTTTTTTTCTTGTTGCACGGGGATTATATAGCCTCTACACATCGCTGTGGGGGCACCTGCTATTTGTATGAAATATTGTTGAAATCGGAGGAAATAGAAGCATCATCACTGCTACACATTCCCATAAATAGAGGGATCAGCCCTGCTGCATAATCCGCCTCTCAACAGAAGGATCAGCCCTACTACATATTCCGTAAATAGAAGGATCAGCACTGCTACATAATCCGTGGCAAGAGAAGGATCAGTCCTGTTACATAACCCTTCAACAGAAGGATCATCCCTGCTACACATTCCCGTAAATAGAAGGATCAGCCCTGCTACATAATCCTCGTCAGCAGAAGCACCAGTCCTGCAACATAATCCCCGTCAGCAGAAGGATCAGCACTGCTACATAATCCCGTAAATAGAAGGATCGGCCCTGCTACATATTCCCGTAAATAGAAGGTTCAGCCCTGCTACATAAACCCCCCAACAGAAGGATCAGTCCTGCTTCATCATCCTCGTCAGCAGAAGGATCAGCTCTGCTACATAATCCCGTAAATAGAAGGCTCAGCACTGCTACATAATCCCTGTCAAGAGAAGGGTCAGTCCTGCTACATAATATTCGTCAGCAGAAGGATCAGTCCAGCTATTTAATCCCTTCAACAGAAAGATAAGCCTGATGCGTAATCCGCCCATCAACAGAAGGATCAGTCTTGCTACATAAGCCTTGCCAGTAGAAGGGTCAGCCCTGCTATTTAATCCCCTCAACTGAAAGATAAGCCGGATACATAATCCTTGTCAACAGAAGGGTCAGCCTTGCTACATAATCCTTGCCAGTAGAAGGATCAGTCCTGCTATTTCATCCCCTCAACAATAAGATAAGCTCGCTGTACTAGGGTACTGAGGTCTTTTTATGTTCTTGTCTGTATAAATGTGCTCAGTCTCCTGGTTAAGCAGGCTCAAATCAATCCCTTAAAAATCACTCGAGAGTGTTTAAGCCACGAATCAGGTCACTCCCCTCTACTAAGCCTAAAACATTCACCCAATGCTCAGATTACTCCCGTTGGGCTCAAATCCACCTCCATTATTACAGTATGTTACCTCCCCTGTTCAGTTTGAGCATACAGTTCTAAAGGTTTCAGATGTTCAATTGTCGACATACATTATTTCATGTGTACAGTAGGTGTGCATGAAATCATATAAATGTCACTTTGATTTCTCTTTAGAATTTTTCAAATCATAATCTTATCAGAATTATGTCAAACGTCGGTACATGAAAATAATAAGAAGCCTCTATACAAAACTGTGTGTACCCATATAATATTCAACAGAAACATATACATATATATTTCTCCTCGTCCTTCGTTCTGAGAATGTATTCTTTTATTTGGATTCAATAAAACTAGAGACCACAGGATATTATAGTTGCACACTGTATGCTCTTCACATACAACTTACATGTAAAATCAACACACTATATCGACTATAGCTTCAATCTCCTGCTCATCACCGTTTCACCTTTTTTCAACACATACTTGTATATCGTTTGTCAAGAAAATCATGTTTCAAATTAAATAATCCAAAAACAAACAGTTCCTTATGAAGTGAGTAGTATATATTGTAGTGTATGTTGATTGATTTTCGATACACGTATTTAAAAATAACAAAATATTATGAAATATAATTTTTTTTTGATGCAGCTCAAGGTATGGGCACGTGTAAAAACTATCTTTTAGCCATCTAAAGAAGTTCTTCAGCGCCTTATATTGCATATTGTTTTGATTATGTCTCGCCTAATGAGACTAATGAGACTGCAACATGGACTATTTAAACACAATTAGCGTCTGGCTTGAGTGAGTGAGTGAATGAGTGAGAATGGTTTTACACCTCTTTTAGCAATATTCCAGCAATATTACGGCGGGGGACACCAGACATTGGCTTCACACATTGTACCCATGTCGGGAGTCGAACCCGGGTCTTCGGCGTAACGAGCGAACGCTTTAACCACTAACCCCCGTCTGATTTGAAGGTAACATCAACTTTTGTGAGTTAAACATTTTAAAGGGAAAGATTAATATTTAGTTCAGGTTACTAATTTGAACCTTTGCTTGGCGTAAGAGGCGACGGTAAAATTGATGTGAATGGGTCATTGAAGGTCAGTGATGACACCAGGTGTTCGTAAAAATGGTAAGTCTTTGCCGCAGATCAATTTGTCATGTTATGCCAAAACCGTAAGCTCTAAGAATTCTTGTCTTCAAGTTATGGCAGTGTCAATAATCCCATGTGTAAAATGTATGTACATCAAGAACGCATTAACAGATAGTATTGATATCTGGAACGGTTTCTGCACACGACGTAGACATTTGGGATTCCATTTATTTTAAGTTTGCCTGTGTTTATAGGGAACATGCACTTTTACCGACTATTCTCAACCCAACATATAAACGCGCTTGGAAAGGTATACCATATATCATGAAATCGTTTCCATGATGAACTATAATATAAGTGAGTGAGTGAGTTGTGTTTAACGCCGATTTAACAGTATTCCAGTTATGTCAAAGCGTGTCAGCTTAATGTGAAAGTGAAGCAGGTCTTAGACGTTTACCACTTCGGTGAAACCCACGAGCACGGATATGGCGCTGACCGAACCCACAATCATAGGTTTCTGGCGTGCCCAAGGGACGCAACTCTGCACAGCGAAAGGCGGCGACTTAGACGACTGGGCCACCCGTGCCCCAAAATATGATATAAAATATAATACACTATAAACACACACAAAAAAAACACCCCAAAACTGGTTCAAGAAGTTTTTATACAATTTCTTAAATAAAAACGACGAATCTCTGCTGAATCCATTGTTTAGTTCCGACTGTATCATTAGCATGTTTCATGGGGGGCAAATGTGTCATTCAATCGACACGCACACCCCACAACACTAACCACATTTATCAATCTATACACATACATGACCATACAATCAAACTTGGACATTTGAAGGGGGGTGATTTGATCCCGGGTAGTCATTTGGGCCAACGAGGGTGGAGTGCCCTGAACCAAAGGGGAGTGATCTGAGTCGAGGCCCGAAACACTCAAGAGTTATTGGAGCCTAGGCCCAAGGCCCAAGACCCAAGGCCTAAATGAGTCCTACACCAGCCACAGATTGTCCGAGTCCCATCTCCTGGTCCAAGGTCGGACGGACCCGTGAAGATTCCGGGGGTAGAATAGGTCTTCAGCAACCCATGCTTGCCGTAAAAGGTGACTAACGGGATCGGGTGGTCAGGCTCGCTGACTTGGTTTATGCATGTCATCGATCCCAACTGCGTGGATCGATTCTCATGATATTAATCACTGGATTGTCTGGTCCAGACTCGATTATTTACAGACCGCCGTCATATAGCTGGAATATTGCTGAGTGCGGCGTAAAACAACAAACCAACCAACCAACTAAGGTCGGACGCCTTGTCCATGTGACCAATGATATCAACATCGTCATCAAGGATGTAATCAGCAAGACACCACGCCCGGCTGTATAATTATGAACCATTAACTAGTTTCATTATTACGGTCAGTTTAATTAAGCCCTGCTGTATGAGTCACGACCAGCCGCAGCCGACATCTGAGGTAGCATGAAGTGGTCTGTTGATGGACGGCTGAGTAAAGGTAGAGATCACCCTATCTTATCACATACAGCATGTGATGACTGGCCTTTGTACCCACGTACCTATATACAGACGGCCCGGCCACTTCCACATCAGCAGCGGGAGTAAGCGGCTGTCACACGCGTTTCACCACCATGAAACTGTTCATATTCCTGATCGCCGTTGCTTTTGCATCAGGTAAGATATGTCAATTCCCGAATTGAGTGAGTGAATGAGTGAGTGAGTGAGTATCGTTTTACGCCGCTTTTAGCAATATTCCAGCAATATCACGGCGGGGGACACCAGAAATGGGCTTCACACATTGTATCCATATCGGGAATTAAACCCGGATCTTTGGCGTGAACGGGCGAACCCTTTAACCACTAGGCTACCCGACCGCCCCTCCCAAATTGAAGCTCAGTGCATACACATCATTGTTTTAAAAAGCAACATGTTTGAATAGAAACTGTTCGGATAGGTTTCAGGGACGTGAAAGGGTAAAAGGTAAAGTTTTCCCATAAATCGTTGTATATGTTAGCGAGTCGTTATTGCTTTTCGGTGGTCAGCTAATTTGCTTCTATAATAATAGTACCGCAGTAGCTCACACGCATCATACATCCACCGATCTGCTTATAGTGACGCAATAACGCGAACCCAGGCAACAGTCAATAAAGGCTTCAGATGAGTTGCGTCCCTTAGACGTACCAGAATCCGCTGATCATTATGATGCTTGAAAAGTGAGCACAATGCGCCTGCTCGCGGTGCCGTGGGTTTCGCAAAAGATGTTAACGCCTATGACCTGCTTCGCTTTGGGCTTCCTCCCAAATTAATACTGTTCAAAGCGACGTGAAGACCATCTCACTCATGTAACAGCTGAGAGTTACTTTCCCACGTGGCCGTGAACGTACTTTCCACATTCTAGTCAGTATGGCCACCCTATCTTAAGTATACGAAAAGTATTGAGTTGTTCGTAAGTGGAACATGGAGTACATGGCTCAAGTTGATTCAGTGAGCATTAACGTTGATTTGCCTTATTTGCTGTAAAACTGCCCCAATAAGGGTTTACGGTCTTCTCCGACAGCACAAAACCAAGAAAATTGAAACTGTGTATTAATGATACTGATTACTGTTACATGTAGTTCGAAGAGTGTTTGACGCAACATGATTGAAAGCCAACTTCGGTTGTAGTAGACAATGTTGCGGAAACAGCTACGGGGTAGTCTAGTGGTTAAAGTATTCTCTACTCACGCCAAAGGCCCGTGTTTGAGTCCCAGCATGGACCCATTTTATAGTGATCCGTTAGAATATTGCTGGAATATTGAAAAAAGCGTCATAAAGCAGTACTCATTCATTCTTTGAAGGTTCTTAATGAACAGCATCAAACAGTCAACACCACGAGAGGATGTGATTGGTTCTGTGTAGGATTAAAATGTCAAGTTCCTTTTTGTTGATTATATGAGTGAAAATATAGTCGCATGTGTATTGCGCTGAAATATGATTACGAAACTATATAATACATTTTTGTCATTACGAACAATCAAAGGTAATTTGATCCCTTACGCAATCGAACCGAAAAATGGTAGGATTGCGAAGTCAATATTGCCAAGAAAATGTAATGAAAACAGATTAAATTCAAAAGAGTCATTTCAGCTCATTTGAATTCTTTTGCATATTCATAAGGTATTTATAGCGGATATGCGCGTAAGCTCGAACTCATGTTACCCAGGTGAGAAGGTTTTGTACCATGTGGGGAAGGTGATCAGTTGGATAGTACATTCAACACTTTGTGATATCGTATATATTCTACATAGAAGACAGTGCATAGGGATTTTCTTTGATTAGAATTGATTGCAGTACTCTATTTATTGTAAAATGTGCATACTTTGCTGTGTTTGTGAATATATATCTACAAACCGGTATGTTCTCATTGTATTCAAGTGTCATACAGATACTTTGTGATCTGTATGATTGCGAGCTTCCGAGGTCACAGCTTTGTGGATCCAGTGTTATTTGCGTGTCATCGTACCCCGACGGTTTGGGAATTAGTTCATAATATCAATCACTGGTTTGTCTGGTTCAGACTCGATCATTCACAGCATTTAGAAAATAACACATGGACCTCAAAGACAAAAATATACATTTATGTTATTAAGCAATACGAACGAGGATGTACGCACTTGGTATTTGGTCCTCGAGGCGCGCGGTGTGTTTTGCCAGGGTTAAATGTGTCACGGTGCTGTCCACGTGCAGCGGGCAACGTGGCAGATAACGTTGTCTGATAACCAGACTGTGGTCCACTTTCATGCGAAGGAGGTCAGGATCATCTTTCCAAAGGACAAATTCGATTAATTATTTGAAACAATGTATCGTCCTGATCTTTTAGCCACATAAAAACATGTAGAAATGCACGTATAACAAGATTATTTAAAATGAAAACATTTTCAGATTTTTTCTCTAAAAATTGTCTTTTCGTGTATAATTGAGAGGAGCCAAAAGAATATTTTCAGTTTCGTGAAATCTAGACTTGCCAAAGCATGGTAGTTTATTGTTTACATGGTGGCACGTGATTACATGGTGGTACTAACGTTTAACAACGGCGGTCGCGGAGAGTCCTTGGATGGGTGACTGTGTTTCGGGAGCTTGCCTCCCGAGGGCTTCGGTGCTGCCCAACACTGCAGCACTTGTAACACATGTGGTATCTCCTTGGGCAAGTGACTTTGTTCGAAATGTGCCTCTGTTCACCCAGCAGTGAATGGGTACCCGGTAGGATGAGATGGCAATGTGGTTGTTAACCTTCTAAGCGCCTTACCGGCAGCTTGGGTTGTATACTCCTCAGGGAGCTGAGAATGCTTGTTGAGTGCACACTGACCGGGGTAATAATGTTTAAGCGCATAGAGCATGTTAAAGCATGGAGTACAGTGCCAAAAATGGACTATAATTATCATTATATTATTATATTTCAGTGTCTGTATTCACGTAACTAGAGAATACTTCACCCTCGACGTGATGGATCTGTACTCATACTGTCAACCACTGGTTTTTCCCGAACTCGATCACTTATAGGCCGCCATCATATCGCTGGAATATTGCTGTCTGTGGCGTAAAACAACACTCACTCACATACTCATAGAGAAGCCTGTCAATACATTGAAAACGTGCACATCCCTGATTCTTTACCAGCACTAAACCCTTGCTCATGGGTTTCACCTAAGTGGAAAATAAACTAAAACCTGGCTTGTGTCGGGCTTTTCTTCAACCTTCGGCCGACACGCCGTGAGGGGCACGGGTGGCCCAGTCGTCTAAGGCGCCGCGATTCGCTGTGAAGAGCCGCGTCCCTTGGGCGCACTAGAAACCTTTGATTGTGGGTTCGAATCCCGATTCGCCCCGATTAAGTTTCTAGGTTTGTCAGCACCATACCCGTGCTCGTGGGTTTCACCGAAGTGGTAAACGTCTGAGATCTGCAACACTTTGGGCTTACCTCCCACATTAAGCTGACACGCCGTGATATAACTGGAATACTGTTAAAAGCGGCGTTAAACCCAACTCACTCACTCACTCACTAAAACGCCGTGAGATAAGTTCTAAAGCGGCTGTATATCCAACTCACTCAGGCGACATATATGATACACAGACATCGCTTGTCTTGGATCTTCTGCACGAATGATGCTGGTTTTCAGCCGGTTTGAATCAACATAAAATTCTTTATTTTTGAAGAAATGTTATTTTGTGAAGTATGACATATCCACTGATATGCTGATGATCTTCTGTTCCTCCCCAGGCTCCCCCGTGAGGGTGATCGACCGTACTGCTGACGAGCTCAAGTGTGGCATCTGTCAACACCTCACACAGGATCTGCACACTGTCCTGTCTAAAGAAGATACACAGGTGGGTGAGCGTACGCGGGTAAATGCATGTCAGCGTGCGTGCGCGTTTATGACTGTGCGTGTGCGTGGTGAGAGTGAGTGAGTGGGTGTCAGCGCGCGTGCGCGTTTGTGACTGTGCGTGTGCATGGGTAAGAGTGAGTAAGCCTGTGCGTTTGCGTGCTCGAGTTAATGCATGTTAGCGTGCGTGCGCGTGCGTTTATGAGTGTACGTGTGCGTGGGTGAGAGTGAGTGAGCCTGTGCGTTTGCGTGCTCGAGTAAATGCATGTTAGCGTGCGTGCGCGTGCGTTTATGAGTGTACGTGTGCGTGAGTGAGAGTGAGTGAGCTTGCGCGTACGCGTGCGCGTTTATGAGTGTACGTGTGCGTGGGTGAGAGTGAGTGAGCGTGTGCGTGCGCGTGCTCGAGTAAATGCATGTTAGCGTGCGTGCGCGTTTATAAGTGTGCGTGGGTGAGAGTGAGTGAGCGTGTGCGTTTGCGTGCTCGAGTAAATGCATGTCAGCGTGCGTGCGCGTTTATGAATGTGCGTGTGCGTGGGTAAGAGTGAGCGAGCTTGCGCGTACGTGTGCGCGAGTAAATGAATGTTAGCGTGTGTGTGCGTATGCGAGTGAGCGTGTGCGTAGGTGAGAGTGAGTGAGCGTCTCTTAGCAAATGTTAACATATTTCGTACAGGCGTGAAGCCAATTTCCGCTGTCCCCCGCCGTGATATTACTGGGATATTGCTAAAAGCCTCGTAAAACCAAACTCACTTTCTTGTACAGCGTTAGCGTGCGTGCGCGTGCGTTTATGAGTGTACGTGTGCGTGGGTGAGAGTGAGTGAGCGTGTGCGTGCGCGTGCTCGAGTAAATGCATGTTAGCGTGCGTGCGCGTTTATAAGTGTGCGTGGGTGAGCATGTCATCGTATACCCTTTGCGTCGATTGATGCTCATGATGTCAATCACTGGATTGTCTGGTCCAGACTCGATTATTTACAGACCGCCTTCTTATAGCTGGAATGTTGCTGAGTGTGGCGTTAAACAACAAACAATAAACAAACAAAAACAAGAAACCCACAGTGGTTATTTATAGTTCGGATGAGCCCTGACATAGCCCGAGAATAGTTGTGTTGATAGCAGCTTCTGTTGCATTCTGGGTAATATACCTGTTTTTCTGTTTTCACGACAAAGCTGGAATATTGCTGAGTGCGGTGTTAACAAACAAACAATACTTCATGCATCTACCTTTGTCAAACGTCAAACTTAAGCGTGACCCAGAAAATATCAATCGTATCACCAAGTCCACAAAGATAATTTCAGTGACTGGCTGCGTGAAACCCTTATCACAGGGTACTTGGTGTAGCGTACACCGATATCAGAGTAGGGCGGCACCACGGGTACCCGAGAAGTTACAGGGCCTAACGCCGCGTACCACAGGAGGTCGTGTTATCACCAGCGCAGCTGGGTGTCAGTTTATGTTGGATACAGGCGATATCTGCTGGTCAACCATCTACCGACTGATAACGATAAGAACACATTTGCGTTTGTCGTGGTGATACGTTAAAGTCGGGAAAAACGTTGAAGTGATGTTGCGGCGTAAATCAATATTCAGTTATTCACGCGCCTCAAAAATGGATTAATGCCGTGAAACGGTTCTGCTGTTTATTAACTATAATCGCCAATCCATATTTACTATATGGTTAAGGAGTATTTTGTCACTTTATCAACACATACAAATTTCTCTGAGAGGAGTAAAACATCCATTTTAACCATAACACCTTTCATTACCATTGAGTGGTTGTCTTACACTGGTTGTTATGTTGTTTAACGCCGCACTCACCAATATTCCAGCTATATGACGGCGGTCTCTAAATAATCGAGTCTGGACCAGACAATCCAGTGACTGATTTCATGAGCATCGATCCACCCAATTGGGATCGATGACATGCTTCAACCAAGTCAGCGAGCCTGACCACCCGAACCCGTTAGTCGCCTATTACGACAAGCATAGTCACCTTTTACTGCAAGGATGTGTTGCTGAAGACCTATTCTAGCCCGGATCTTCACGGATATTGTCTTACGTAGAAACAACTCAGTATCAACTGGTCTGTGCGAACATGTTGTTTGATAAAAGATATCAATACGTAGATTACATATATTTATTGCCGTGATCTCATACACCACGAATGTTTGTTATTTCCTGACTGACAGTCCCCTATGTATGGTATTGGAGTTAATAAAAACACGTATTTTGATATGAGTACTAGGGGCACTTGTTGTTATTTAATAGTTTATTTCTTGGTAGGTGTTTGTATACTTGTATGGTGTCCTTTGACTACATAGTGAGTCTTGAAATATGAGCATCAAATGACTGTAAAAAGGTGATTTCTTTCCGTTTTGATTTATTATAAAACATGAAAGAGATTATATTTCATTTTTTCGCCTAAAACGGCGCAATATGCTATGTAGGGTTGCGTCCCTTTCTCCAATAAGCTTGAGTTCGAATCTCAGATTCCTGCCCGTTGAGCCGACTCGCCGTAATATAACTTGAATACTGTAACAAATGTTACATTTGGGATAACATTTTCTTAGTAAAGTAAAGATTCTCGTACTTTTTGGGGGGTTGAGTCCCGTCCGGGATTCGAACCCACACTTGCCAGAGTGAGGCACCTAATCGCCAGCACACAAAGTCAGCGATCTAATCCACTCAGCCACTGAGGCTTCAACAAAAATGGAAGACTGACAATGGTCTCACGAACTTTGAGAACCCCTCTTACAAGTGTAAATGGCACGGCTGCCATGGCCGAAAGCTATGAATACACAATGCCATTTAGAGAGTGGTCAAATGTAACAAAGGTTATATTTGGGATAACACTTTCTTAGTAAAGTACAGATTCTCGTACTTTTTGGGGGGTTGAGTCCCGTCCGGGATTCGAACCTACGCTGGACTTGAATACTGTTGAAATCAACGTAAAACACAACGCATCCAGTCCCTATTATTGTGTATGTTTTTGATTTTTGTGTGTGACATGTTTGTTATCAAAGTTAACTTGTATTTCAGACCAAGGTGGTGAGCGGACTCATGTCCCGCTGTGAGAGTCTTGTTGAGGGGCAGAATGAGAGATGTCGCGACATCGTGCACGGCATCGCCCCTAGCATGCTGTCCCTCCTCGTCGACAACGTCGTGAGTCACACTGATTACTTAACGAAGGGCACATGTTATAGAGGGTGGACCCGTTGTTTTAATAATATTTACATCAAGCTGACAAATATCCGGCTAACATACTTTAACACTAATATCATTTGGAGAAGCGGATGTCGGTGTCTACAGTCTAGTGCTGTGCCCGTATAGGTGTATGTGTATCACTCACGACACCTAACATATCTGGTCAATAACTTATACCTCCCATGTAAACAAGCATCCATCAATCTCATTCAAATCAGATCTTAGTTCTCGCTACCGCTAAACAAAGATCTGAGGACATCCCATTACGGGTCACGTCAGACCGACCTTGCACGAACTTTGACTGACCAATGGAATGACCAATCAGAAGGCAGCTTTCTCGTGCTTTACGGCACTAATTTCAAATTGGCGACTACGCTTCGAAACATATTTTGACAAATTCTCGATTACAAATTTGAAACCTGAAAAAAAGAACATTCTGGAATGGCTAATAGATGGTGTAGATTGTATGGATTCAGGCGTTTAACCCGTAACTATCGTTCAGAATACCCCTCGTTAAAGTTCTCGAGGTTGTATGATTAGAAATCACATTCCGACTGTCACTTTCATGATCTGGTAAGCGACGCTCTGATTGGTCGGATGAAAGGTCGTTCTGACGTGACCCTAATGGGATGTCCTCAGATCTTTGTTTAGCGGTAGCGAGAACTAAGATCTGATTTTAATGAGATTGAGCATCCACGGATGTCCATTTCCGAAGCAGGGAACAAGGGCTAAATCAGCGCTCTCCTGGGTAAGAGTGTCCTCTCAACGCGCAAACCTAACCGACAAATGGCCATAAGCCAGCCAGGCACGTCCCTTGTAGAATAAAACTACGCAAAATTCTTTCGGAAATTCAAATGAGCGAAAAGCATGACAAAATGAAACCTGAAGTGATATATACAAATTGTACGGCTAAAAGAAATGAATTGCTAAGAATTTGGGCCTGCAACGAAACCTCGTTAGTGCGAACCCCGTTAATCCAGAAACTCAGCTTACCGGGCGAAGACCTTTAGGTACGTCTAATATTTTTTAAATGGTGACGGATTCGTTAATCCGGACGATTTCATTGGGAACTATGCCGCATGGATTAAATGGGTTTCAGTGTATAGTAGATGCTACTTGTGTCTGTTTCCCAGCATCCGTACGTCATGTGCAGCACCCTGGAGATGTGTCCCGTGGAACACGTGGAGCACGAGGAGACGCAGGTTGAACACGTGTCAAAAGTAAGTTATTGCTATTCATATATCGCTCTTGGTTCCTTCATATACATATTGGGGGCACGAAACCTTGAGTTCGAATCCCAGATTCGGCCTGGCCGTGTTTCTTTGTGTAGCCAGGGGGCACGGGTGGCCCAGTCGCCTAAGGCGCCGCGATTCGCTGTGCAGAGTTGCGTCCCTTAGGCACGCCAGAAACCTTTGATTGTGGGTTCGAATCCCGGTTCGCCCCGATTATGTTTCTAGGTTTGTCAGCACCATACCCGGGCTCGTGGGTTTCACCGAAGTAGTAAACGTCTGAGACCTGCATCACTTCGGGCTTTCCTCCCACATTAAGCTGACACGGCGTGATATGACTGGACTACTGTTAAAAGCGGCGTTAAACCAAACTCACTCACTCACTCACTTTGTGTAGCCCACACCATACCTTTGCTTGTGGGTTTCATCAAAGTGAGTGAGTGAGTGAGGATGGCTTCACACATTGTACACATGTGGGGATCGAACCCGGTTCTTCGGCGCGAGGAGCAATAGCTTTAATTACTAGGCTACACCATCGCCTCCTTTCACCAAAGTAATAAGTAGTAAGAATATAATGAATGTATTGTGTAGGATAGTTTAGTCAGAGAACTAGCAGTCGTTAATGAAGACGTGTGACTAATGTTGATGCTGCTGTTACAGACAACGTTGTGCGAGTTCTGCCAGTTCGCCATCAACATCGTAGAGAGATACGTCCAGAAGAACGCCTCCATCCCAAAAATCAACGAGACGCTATACAACTTCTGCAACGACCTCCCTGACCCCCTCAAGTCAGAGGTAATATACCCTTGAACGGAATCCCAGATAAAGCTCCAGGTGTCTGATCGTTTAGACTAACATTTAGTCATAGAAATTATCTCACTTAAAAATATGTATCCTCAAAATAAAAAGCAAAATTCAATTGGACTCCAAAACAATCCTTAATTTCAGTGCCGAGGTAATCTAGATTTGCCAAATCATTTTTAATATATTCTCTCTGGTCTGGGAGACAGACTACTGATCGACAAGGCAAAGAACGCTTTTTTTAAGAACATACAGTTAGAGGTATCATCCTTCTGTTCACTGAACGTTATTTGCTGCTGAAACTGAATGACATATGAAACGGCAGTTTCATGATTTGTTATATCTTTCTGAGACGAAAATGCGAAACACTGCTGGACATTTTTTAATATTAATGTAAAACATCAACATGTGGCCATAATGTCACCTGCACAGGTGTATCAAACGTAAGAAAGGACTAGCGTGCGTGTAAAATGGATCTTAAGAATAATTAACAGCACACATGAGAGCTTCACACTTTGGGCCACCATGCCCCTATTACTGAATACAGTCAGTAGGGTATTGGTTGCATACTATCACACAATCCATCCAGAATAATACACTCAGACAATTACGACACTATGTTTTATTTATCCTGAAGAGAACAGACAATTGCATCACTATTTTATTTATCCAGAAGAAAACAGACAATTGCAACACTATTTTATTTATCCAGAAGAAAACAGAAAATTGCAACACTATTTTATTTATCCATAGAAAACAGAAATTGCATCAATATTTTATTTATCCAGAGGAGAAAAAGACAATTGCGACACTATTTTATTTATCCATAGAAAACAGACAATTGCAACACTATTTTATTTATCCAGAAGAAAACACAATTGCATCACTGTTTTATTTATCCAGAAGATTGCAGATAATTGCAACAGTATGTTTTATTCAACCAGAAGAAAACAGATAAAGGCAACAATATGTTATATATCCAGAAAAAATAGTGACAATTACAAGAATTTGTTATATGTGTCGTCCCTGTCGCACCATCCTCATTCCCCAAGTGTGCCTATGAGCATCGTAGGTCAAAGTATAGAAGTCTGATGGTAGCACTCAGGTCAGGGTTCACTGTCTGACAGTTTGATCGTGTTGCAGTGCCTCCAGTTCGCGCCAGCTGTAGTGAAAGCTCTGGCAGAAGGAGTTGACCCCCACCAAGCCTGCGTCAAGGCCCACGTCTGTCCCAGTAAGTCAGTCGTTGTCATCGCTCTGCTCTACCACACCTCCACCTAGCAAAACGACATTATAAACATGCATCAGGCGTGATATAAATGAAGGGTGTTGGGTGTGGGTGGGGTTGTTTGGTGGAAATGGATTGTTCTTTCTCGGAATCCCACTGGGGTATCTGCAGTGTTTTGTGAGTTAGATTGACCATTTTCTTCTTCTAGGCGAAACACAGGAACATCCACTGACCTGGAATGCCGTCACCTGTGATGTGTGCAATAACGTGGCTGAGAAGATGTTCCATGAAGTGGGTATTACAAATTACATTTTACAATTGTCAGATGTGATATTGCTCTCTAAGATGTATACATTGAAGAGCAACTATGTATCTTCGGCTCTATATTTGTTAAACGAATATTATATATAGAATATGATCAGATGGCAGTTTTTCTCTAACTATAACACAGATTATACCCACAACGTCATTACACAACCTCCTTTACGATATGTATCTGTATTTTGTGTCTATATTTGTCTGTAAGGACGCCGGTGCCGTGTGTATGGATCTGAAGATCTGTCTTCGTCCCACGCTTCCTGCAGTGCAACGGGAGGTGCGCCAGGAACCCCAGCAGGAAGTTGGCGCAGTAAGTAGAACCCTGTGTTGGTGAAAAGGATAAAACACGCTCTCCATGGTTTGGTTAAATATGTAAACAAGAGGGAGGAGGGACAAACCCGGAAGCCCGAGGTTTTTTTAGCGACCCTTTAATGTTTACATGTTTACAAAACCCAATGAAAAGTGTTTTATCTGTCTTAAACCGTAAGTAAAATCTGAAACACCACGTTTTTGTGTTTGCGATACTTTCCATGTACGTGAGGAAACTTAGGAAACGGACGTACTATATATCTTGCTGGTGCGCATACTCTTAAACAAGGCATTCTTAAAAGCATCGCGGTGTCTCAGTCCCTCAGTCGTCTAGTGGTTTACTCACAGGGCTACGTCTACAAAGGCTGCAAGTTCGATCCCACTGCAATGTAAGTAACACTGCTTACATCATTCCGCACGGTTAGTTAGCATAAATGTGTGTTAGCTAAAGTCCATGCTAAGAGGTTATTCTGCTAAATAACTAAGGCCCCGTCAAAACAACCGGATGACGTCACCTGAGGTTTACAACTGTTGGACTCGTATAGAATCGGGGCCGATGACCTCGTTGTCGTTACAACTGACTGTAATGATTTATTTGTTTGTTTGTTTGTATGTTTGTTGTTTAACGCCGCACTCAGCAACATTCCAGCTATATGAAGGCGGTCTGTAAATAATCGAGTCTTGACCAGACAATCCAGTGATATCATGAGCATCGTTGCACGCAATTGGGATACGATGACATGCATCAACCAAGTCAGCGAGCCTGACCACTCGATCCCTTAGTCGCCAAGCATAGTCCCCTTTTACAAGCATGTGTTGCGGAAGACCTATTCTATCCCGGATCTTTGCGAGTAGACTGTAATGAGATCTGAGGTTTACAATGTTGGACATCGCTCCCAGGCGTGTTTGAGTGTTGTTCATGCAGTCAACCCCTGGTTTGCTTGGTCCAGGGTATTTACAGGTAGAATATATAGCTGGGCTATTGCTAGCTGCGGCACAACACACCATTCCTTCATGCACCCACATAGAAATAAATGTATACGCGATTTAAAGTATTTCAAAAACGAAATTTCAACATTTTAGAAAATAATCTGAGGAAACACTGTACACGTAATGGTATTGAGACATATAGTGGCATATGTGTATTGACTATCCCCAGGGCCCCGGTTGTGAGCTGTGCGAGTTCCTCGTCAACACCATCGACCAGTACTTGAAGCAGAACAAATCCGAGACGGCCATCAATGCCACAGTGACCAAGATCTGTAATGACCTGCCAGAACCCCTCAAGGACACTGTAAGAACGTTTCTCATTTGACCTGATTATCATCTGCGAAAAGATTTAATCAAAACGTTGTAATGTTGTCTATTCAAGAAGCAAAATGTTTTTTTACAAACATAAATAATATTTTTTTCATTTCAGTGCAACAGCTTTGCTCCACAGCTTGTGAAAGTTCTAGCCCAAGGATTTGACCCCGAACAGGCTTGCACCAAGATAGGACTGTGTACGTCTCAGATTTGCTACTTTGCCCAAATGGTTAACACAACATTTGCTAGGCTGCTAAAGCATTTAAAATGTCACAGATAATGTATTGTAAGAAGGCCACATGACATTCTGAAGAAGTGGCCTTTGAATGCCTTTAAGATATCGAGTGCGACATTTGCTGTACTGTTTAATTTTCGTAATCAGTAAAGTAAACAGTCCTGTTCTCCCCTACGGGAAATGTAGGTTTCGGGTCCGTACGTCCGTCCTCCCGTCGCTCCGAATTCAAAGGTTTTAAAAAAAACAAAAAACTATTATGGACACAACATGGCATTCTGCATACATCATGAAGGAATGAATATGTTGATCGAGTTTGAAAACCTTCATCGAAAACGTAAATGTTACAGAGTTATGTCCCTTCGATCCTTTGGATATGGTGCACTATGGATACAAGGATGACATTTTCCATACATCTTATGAGTTATGGCCCTTGTTTAACCATTATATATATCTTCTTGAAACATTGTAAACACACACCATGCAGGTGTAAAAAAATGATAATTAATCTCTTGCTTTTCCAAGGCAACACGTTCAGAAAAAGGTAGGGTTTGCCTCCGACCTTTAATTCTTTATCCGTGAAAAGTTTGAAATGTACAAAACCAGTTTGGAGTGGTGACTATGATATTCACCGAAGACTAAGATTATCTTTTTTCAATTGCTAGCATGAAGGATGGCGGGGTATATTAATGTCTTTTTGTTCCCACTGACGTTCGTCGGGATGAACTGTAGAACCTTGTGTTTTGTCAGGTGGGTCTCAGCATGAACCTGAGCTGGAGCCAGAGAGGGATGAGGAAGATGAACCTGAGCTGGAGCCTGAGAGGGAGGAGGAACACGAGCATGTGCCGGAGCCTGAGAGGGAGGAGGATCGCGAGCATGTGGAGCCTGTAGAAGCTGTAGGTGGACATGTCAGAAGTAGGGGCAGGGCCCATACTTTAACGAATTAAGTTATCGCCTCGCTGCTGACAGTATAACCCACAGCTGGGCCTGGCTGGCGCAATCTGGCAACTGCATTACCAGCTATAGCTTACCTTGGCCGAAACTGGACGACAGATTCCAGATTAGGTCACCCCAAGGTCAACCAGGCGGCAACTGCTGGCAGAGAGGTTGTTACTGGCTGAGTGTTGGGCGGGCAATGGACTACCAGTCAGTATTGATAGCTACTAAATGTGTTGAACTGTTGAACCTTTCCAGGATACAAAACTCTTGATGGACACTTCAATTCATTTTGTTTGACCTATTCCATAGTTTAATATCTGGAAATGATCCTGAAAAATACAAGTACTTGAAGTCCCAATCACGAAATCGATGCAAAGGAGGTTCTACCTTAATTACCAATGGAAATAACCCCCGCGGAATCGTTGAATTGTAATTATATTTAACTGAATTCACTGAATTCTAAGAAATTGATCGAAAGATATGTAGAAATACTGGTTAAACATAAATATATTTTAAGTTAAAGAGACAAAACCCTTTTTTTATTCATATAAATCCCTGCTGGGACAAGGCGATTGTACGATTCCGACTATATCATGAGCATTTTAATCTTTTAAACCAATACGAAACATAGCAGATTAAAACAAATGTATTCCTATACCGATCAAGATAAAAGCGCTGATTCCAAATTATACAAATCTACAATAATAATTATGTATAAATGTAAGTATTGTAAAGCAAATTGGTACTATATTCAAGGGTCCTGGGTGTGAATTGTGCCAGTTCCTCATCAACACCATCGACGAGTACCTGAAGGAGAACAAGACAGAGGCGGCCATCAATGCCACAGTTACAAACTTCTGTAACGAGCTGCCAGAACCTCTCAAGGACACAGTAAATAAACTTACTTATGTTCAGTTCTTAATGTAGCAAGTGCCTAGACTATTCTTATATTACATTCACCAAGTTGAAATGAGGTGGCAACACACACACACACACACACACACACACACACGCACGCACGCACGCACGCACGCACGCACGCACGCACACACACACACACACACACACACGCACGCACACGCACACACCGATGTTGAGTAAGAGGCGACCGCATGGATCAGGTGGTCAGTCTCACTGACTTGGTTGATGGCGTCTCATCGTACTCCGGTGATGGATTGTTTATCACAATATCAATCATTCCATTTGGTCTGGTCAAGACTCGAATATTTACAGGCCGCCATCCTATGACTATTGCAGAGTGCTGCGTTAAACAACAAACAAACAAACACATTATCATATAGCAATGGAATACATAATAACTGGGGTGTTTTCCCAGTAGTTCAACTGTTTGATCTCATGTTCATCTCACTCGTCATCTACATTTACGTGTTATTGTCAACGTCGCTTGACTCTTACATAGTGTACAGATAATCTCTTGAATCTATCTGTGATATTGACATCCAAGGTTCCTTTTGAAGTACGGACACAATGTTTTCTACGTTGTTTTCAGTGCACTGGCTTTGCTCCTCAGCTTGTCAAGTTGCTGGCTGAAGGAGTCGACCCCAAGCAGGCCTGCACCAAGATCGGACTGTGCTCTAGTAAGAATATGTGCTTCAGAGAAACCGTAAAGCCCTCAACATGTATTTGAGTTGAGGACGTGACTTTTGTGGAAACTACATTAGTATTTACCTACGTCTTTTGACAAAAGTAACGGCAACCTGCGCCGTAACATCACTATTGTGGTTTTGAAAAGTATATGAGGTGTAGTTGATGTTAGTGTAAACCCCTACCACTACTGCTGCCATCCATAGCAAGATACGACATGTGCAGTGGTAATATCTGTTTGAAATACAATATTGGTTTCCGAGGAAATATATAAAACATCAACGTCATGGAAGAACCAGTCTTGATGATCTGACGAAACAGATTTCATTGGGCGTGAAAGCTGAGCAACGTATCAGATAAAACGCGACATATGGTAATTGGTATGAAATCACATCTAAGGCAAATGCTCGTTTTTCACAGGTTCAGAGGAAGAACACATCGAGGAACATGTAGAACACGAAGAACATCACGAAGAACAGAATGTGGCTGCTGTGAGTAACAGATATATGAAACAATTGATGATTGCACCATATCTTACGATTATACTGAGATCTAATACGTAAATACGTCCTATAGTATACCTATAGTAACATTCACCACATACTTATTGTAATACTAACAGGTAGCTTTTATCCATCTTTCTTCTGTGTTGCAATGTTGGTACCAATGTCTTAGGTTATTGATAGTGTCCTTCTGTTACAATAAGGGTCCTGGATGTGAGCTGTGCCAGTTCCTCATCAACACCATCGACCAGTACCTGAAGGAGAACAAGACAGAGGCGGCCATCAATGCCACAGTTACAAACTTCTGTAACGAGCTGCCAGAACCTCTCAAGGACACCGTGAGTCTTTGCTATTCTGTTTTGTTATTTGTCTTCCAACCTCCAACCTTATGTTTGACCAGCGCCAGGTACCAATATACATTAAACATTAAACATTGTACAGTTTAGTAAGATATTAAACCCTTACACGTAGCTTCGTTCTTACCGTGTACAGATAATACATTGAATGAATCTGTAATTCTGGCATCCAAGGTTCCTTTTGAAGTACAGACACAACTTATCCATGTTGTTTTCAGTGTACTGGCTTTGCCCCTCAGCTGGTGAAGATGCTGGCTGAAGGAGTCGACCCCAAGCAAGCCTGCACCAAGATCGGACTGTGCTCCAGTAAGAACATGTGCTTCAGAGGAAAACGTATAGCCCTGAACATGTACTTGAGTTGAGGACGTGACTTTTGTGAAAACTACAGTAAACTACGTTTATAACGAACACGCTTATAACGAACCGACGGATATATATCGAACTTAGTTTTTAGTCCCGACCACTTGTTGTAGATATGCTGTATGTATGCTTATAACGAACTACGGTTATTACGAACTAAAATTAGTGGTCCCCTCGAGTTCGTTATAACCGTAGTTTACTGTACATTAGTATTCACCAACGTCTTTTGACAAAAGTAAAGGCAACCTGCAACGTAATATCACTATTATGGTTTTCAGAATCATATGAGGTATTGTTGATGTTAGTGTAAACCCCTACCACTACTGCTGCCACTGATAGAAAGATACGACATGTGCAGTGGCAATATCTGTTTGAAATACAATATTGGTTTCCGAGGAAATATATAAAGCATCAACGTCATGGAAGAAGCAGTCTTGATCATCTGCCGAAACAGATTTCATTGGGCCTGAAAGCTGAGCAACGTATCAGATAAAACGCGACATGAGGTAATTGGTATGGAATCACATCAAAGGCAAATGCTCGTTTTTCACAGGTTCAGAGGAAGAACACATCGAGGAACATGTAGAACACGAAGAACATCACGAAGAACAGAATGTGGCTGCTGTGAGTAACAGATAAATGAAAACATTGATGATTGCATCATATGTTACGGTTATACTGAGATCTAATACGTAAATACGTCCTATAGTATACCTATAGTAACATTCACCATATGCTAATTGTAATACTAACAGGTAGCTTTTATCCATCTTTCTTCTGTGTTGCAATGTTGGTACCAATGTCTTAGGTTATTGATAGTGTCATTCTGTTACCATAAGGGTCCTGGATGTGAGCTGTGCCAGTTCCTCATCAACACCATCGACCAGTACCTGAAGGAGAACAAGACAGAGGCGGCCATCAATGCCACAGTTACAAACTTCTGTAACGAGCTGCCAGAACCTCTCAAGGACACCGTGAGTCTTTGCTATTCTGTTTTGTTATTTGTCTTCCAACCTCCAACCTTACGTTTGACCAGCGCCAGGTACCAATATACATTAAACATTAAACATTGTACAGTTTAGTAAGATATTAAACCCTTACACGTAGCTTCGTTCTTACCGTGTACAGATAATACATTGAATGAATCTGTAATTCTGGCATCCAAGGTTCCTTTTGAAGTACAGACACAACTTATCCATGTTGTTTTCAGTGTACTGGCTTTGCCCCTCAGCTGGTGAAGATGCTGGCTGAAGGAGTCGACCCCAAGCAAGCCTGCACCAAGATCGGACTGTGCTCCAGTAAGAACATGTGCTTCAGAGGAAAACGTATAGCCCTGAACATGTACTTGAGTTGAGGACGTGACTTTTGTGAAAACTACAGTAAACTACGTTTATAACGAACACGCTTATAACGAACCGACGGATATATATCAAACTTAGTTTTTAGTCCCGACCACTTGTTGTAGATATGCTGTATGTATGCTTATAACGAACTACGGTTATTACGAACTAAAATTAGTGGTCCCTTCGAGTTCGTTATAACCGTAGTTTACTGTACATTAGTATTCACCAACGTCTTTTGACAAAAGTAAAGGCAACCTGCAACGTAATATCACTATTATGGTTTTCAGAATCATATGAGGTATTGTTGATGTTAGTGTAAACCCCTAGCACTACTGCTGCCACTGATAGAAAGATACGACATGTGCAGTGGCAATATCTGTTTGAAATACAATATTGGTTTCCGAGGAAATATATAAAGCATCAACGTCATGGAAGAAGCAGTCTTGATCATCTGCCGAAACAGATTTCATTGGGCCTGAAAGCTGAGCAACGTATCAGATAAAACGCGACATGAGGTAATTGGTATGGAATCACATCAAAGGCAAATGCTCGTTTTTCACAGGTTCAGAGGAAGAACACATCGAGGAACATGTAGAACACGAAGAACATCACGAAGAACAGAATGTGGCTGCTGTGAGTAACAGATAAATGAAAACATTGATGATTGCATCATATGTTACGGTTATACTGAGATCTAATACGTAAATACGTCCTATAGTATACCTATAGTAACATTCACCATATGCTAATTGTAATACTAACAGGTAGCTTTTATCCATCTTTCTTCTGTGTTGCAATGTTGGTACCAATGTCTTAGGTTATTGATAGTGTCATTCTGTTACCATAAGGGTCCTGGATGTGAGCTGTGCCAGTTCCTCATCAACACCATCGACCAGTACCTGAAGGAGAACAAGACAGAGGCGGCCATCAATGCCACAGTTACAAACTTCTGTAACGAGCTGCCAGAACCTCTCAAGGATACCGTGAGTCTTTGCTATTCTGTTTTGTTATTCGTCTTCCGAACTCCAACCTTATGTTTGACCAGCGCCAGGTACCAATATACATTTAACATTAAACATTGTACAGTTTAGTAAGATATTAAACCCTTGCACGTATCTTCGTTCTTACAGTGTACAGATAATACATTGAATGTATCTGTAATATTGGCATCCAAGGTTCCTTTTGAAGTACAGACACAATTTATCCATGTTGTTTTCAGTGCACTGGCTTTGCTCCTCAGCTTGTCAAGTTGCTGGCTGAAGGAGTCGACCCCAAGCAGGCCTGCACCAAGATCGGATTGTGCTCAAGTGAGAACATGTGATTCAGAGAAACCGTAAATCCTGAATAAGTGTTTCGTAGGGAAACGTATAGCCCTGAATATTTACTTGATTTGAGGACGTGACTTTTGTGGAAACTACATTAGTATTCACCAACGTCTTTCGACAAAAGTAATGGCAACGTGCTCCGAAACATCACTATTATGGTTTTGATCTGTATATGAGGTGTAGTTGATGTTAGTGTAAACCCCTACCACTACTGCTGCCACCGATAATATATACGATATGTGCAGTGGTAATATCTGTTTGAAATACAATATTAGTTTCCGAGGAAATATATAAAACATCAACGTCATGGAAGAACCAGTCTTGATTATCCGTCGAAACAGATTCCACTGGGCGTGAAAGCTGAGCAACGTATCAGATAAAACGCGACATGAGGTAATTGGTATGAAATCACGTCTTAGGCAAATGCTCGTTTTTCACAGGTTCAGAGGAAGAACACATCGAGGAACATGTAGAACACGAGGAAAATCACGAAGAACAGAATGTGGCTGCTGTGAGTAACAGATATATGAAAACATTGATGATTGCATCATATTTTATGGTTATACTGAGATCTAATACTTAAATACGTCCTATAGTATACCTATAGTAACATTCACCATATGCTAATTGTAATACTAACAGGTAGCTTTTATCCATCTTTCTTCTGTGTTGCAATGTTGGTACCAATGTCTTAGGTTATTGATAGTGTCATTCTGTTACCATAAGGGTCCTGGATGTGAGTTGTGCCAGTTCCTCATCAACACCATCGACCAGTACCTGAAGGAGAACAAGACAGAGGCGGCCATCAATGCCACAGTTACCAATTTCTGTAACGAGCTGCCAGAACCTCTCAAGGATACCGTGAGTCTTTGTTATTCTGTTCTGACAGATATTAAACCCTCGTATGTACCTTCTTTCTAACAGTGTAGAGATAATCTCTTGAATCTGCCTGTTATATTGCCTTCCATGGTTCCTTTGAAGTTCAGACAGAATTATTCCACATTTGTTTCAGTGCACTGGCTTTGCTCCTCAACTGGTCAAGTTGCTGGCTGAAGGAGTCGACCCTAAACAGGCCTGCACCAAGATCGGACTTTGCTCAAGTGAGTGTGAAGTGTGGAGTGTGGAGTGTGGAGTGTGGAGTGTGGAGTATATTTGTAATATATATTACACAGACTGTACAATCGGATTTCGAGGTCGAATTTGGTATAACATTTACATACATGACTTAATAAGGTTTCGTTTCACAAATCGATCTTTTGAACCAGGACATGTGCATAAAAACAATACATGAAAAGTGCCCAAGAAAACTCATTTGTCTTGACCAACACCAATCAATTTCTAGGGTGTTTCATAAAACCCAAAAACATCTTAGATTTAAAACTGTGGAATGGTGTTTCTTTAGACTTAAAAGTGTTAATCATTAAATTTTTGTGTATATGAAATGTATACCCACACTTACACAGGCGCAGAACCGGAACATCGCGAGGAACATCCACAGGAACATCCACAGGAACATCAGGGGGAACACAGGGAGGCTGCAGTGAGTTCCATGGTGACATATCTCCCTGTTTGTAATACTGTTGTGATAGGTAAAAGGACCACAAAGATATAGATACATTATGACTACAATACAAAGCTCATTGAAATTGCATTTATCCTGCATAACCATACAGAACAGAAAGAACCATCACATTACCTTTATCTATAGGGACCCGGGTGTGAGCTGTGCCAGTTCCTCATCAACACCATCGACCAGTACCTGAAGGAGAACAAGACAGAGGCGGCCATCAATGCCACAGTTACACACTTTTGTAACGAGCTGCCAGAACCTCTCAAGGATACCGTGAGTCTTAGGTTATTCTGTTCTGACAGATATTAAACCCTCGCATGTACCTTCTTTCTAACAGTGTAGAGATAATCTCTTGAATCTGCCTGTTATATTGCCTTCCATGGTTCCTTTGAAGTTCAGACAGTATTATTCCACATTGGTTTCAGTGCACTGGCTTTGCTCCTCAACTGGTCAAGTTGCTGGCTGAAGGAGTCGACCCTAAACAAGCCTGCACCAAGATCGGACTGTGCTCAAGTAGGTGGTGACTTCGCTGTAAAAATGTGCTTAGATAAAACTTAACCTTTCCTTGTGTTTTAGAGGACTAAACGTGTTTTTAGAATCTTGACATGTATATCAATAGAAGTTTTAAAACATACTTAGATATTTTGGGATATTGTGGGAATGTACTAGGGAGATCATAGCCAATGCCATTTTGTCTAGACTTATGTTTAGACAAAACACACGAAACACTTCGATGTGTTTAGGAACACATTCCTAAACACGATTAGAGTCAAACCGTTTTTCCTCTCAAACTACGGGCAGGTCGACATATTTTGCGCGTCCCAAGACCTTCGCGATAGGAAGTTTCACTTTGCAAACATTGACAAATCATGTGGATTTGTATCAGGGGAGATTTTGATTTGCGATTTTTTGTAGATCGAACTAAACTGCCCTATAAAAGAAATTATACATCCATGTTTAATGGTGGCAAAAAAGATATTATTATTCCATGGTGATGTATGTGATACTGGTATCAATGTCATGTTTTAGACCTGCAGTCTTTCGTCAACTATTGCAGCATAGTAACATTTTCATAACGTTTATAACGTAAAAAGTATTTCATGAAAGTAATATCTCTTTTAACCCAATATAATATCAGAAATGCATTCTTGCCCCAGGTTATGACCAAACGCCACAAATAGATGACGCCAAGGCGGTGAGTCACCAAGTCTGCAGCTCGACCAGGCATCACAATAACTAAACTACTTATATTGTATCATAATTGTAATCTTGTTTATATTGAACAAATCTTTAAGAACAATTTTGCCGGATATCTCAAACAACAAAGTAAATAAGTCTTTGTTTTTTTCCATTCTTTTCGTTAGTAACGATAAAGCTAATATAAAATATTGTAACTGACCAATATTCTACAAAATCCATGTTTACATATTTATTAACCATACTATGATATTGATTGACGTTCGTCGTCTGATAACTGGTGAATCTCACTAACATACGAGTACTATTTCTAGGGCCCTGAATGTGAATTATGCGAACTTGTCGTGAAAACAGTAGACAAGTATATTACCCAGAATGCAACAGAAGCTGCTATCAACACAACTATTCTCAGGCTTTGCCAGGGCTTACCCGAACCATTGAAAACCACCGTGAGTTGCATGTGTGTTTGTTTGTTGCTGAAAGCCGCACTCAGCAATACTCCAGCTATAAGAAGGCGGTGTGTACATAATTGAGTCTGGACCAGGCAATTCAATGAATGACATCATGAATATTGAGATACGATGACATGTCATCAGCCACGTCGCATGGGGACGAAAAGCATGGGGATAAACATTCTTACCCAGAATCCCCTGGGGTGGATTTGAATCGATGGCAAACCTAAAAATTATGAATAATCTAAATAATATTAAATTTTCAAAATATAACGTTCTCACGTTTCAAATTCACAATAAACACCTCAAATGTGACAACACAATGTATAGATCTCCGAAATTTACGACATTCTTTTGTACATGACAATTATGGTCATACGTTTTTGTTTTCAACAGCCTTTCAACAATCAGTATAATGACAAATTAAATCATGTTAACCCTTAAACCTCCATTAATCACCATATATCGCTATTGGATGTTGTAGTGCTTCCAGTTTGCCCCTGAAGTAGTGAAGGCATTATCACAGGGAGTTGACCCGAACATGACCTGTACCAAGATTAAATTATGTTCGGGTAAATACACACAATGTTTGTAATTCAGATGGATGAAGATTTGTATTAACTTCGTGACTGCTGAGACCAAAGAGTGCTAACTTTAACGTGGTGACATGTATACACACATGATCCAATGCGAAACATACATTCAGGAAAGAACGGACTGAACGCTAGAAGTCGACAGTTACAGAGGAGCTTAATATACAGGAAGAATAATCTGCCCCGTTCAAAGTTAACATAGCTAGCAGAACTGTTACTTAAATGTACTACGTTCCTTTAAATATTGATCGACCCGTGAACATCCGGGGTAGAATAGGTCTTAAGCAACCCAAGGTTGTCGTAAAAGGCGACTATGCTTGTCGTAAAAGGCGACTAACGGGATCGGGTGGTCAGGCTCGCTGACTTGGTTGATCCATGTCATGGTATCCCAATAGCGTGCATCGCTGCTCATGATGTCTATCACTGGATTGTGTGGTCCAGACTCGATTATTTACAGGCCGCCGTCATATAACTCGAATATTGGTGAGTGCGGCGTTAAACAACAAACAAACAAACAAACAAAAACATATTGATCAGGCACCCAGCTGGATATACAGACCTTGCAATGATACACTTAGGTGCACTGAAGCATTATTTATGCCCTACAGTGTAAATACACGACAGCCACACCCGATCACAACTGTTGCTCAAGGGAATTCCAAATAACCAGTATGTGTGTACTGAACACTATCAGTGTTAGACAGCATGTAAATAAATAAAACTCAATTACAAACTTTAAAAAGATCTCAAAATCGATTTTCAGTTACAATCTTCAAACAAAAGGGCGACGAGAGCAACGTGCAACATGCCTACTACGTCACAGTACGACATATTAGCCCTTTGCCTAGTACACATTGTCATTGCGAGCGTTCATGTTCATCACCCATCAGGGTGTTACAGCTTGGCCCATTGTCAGTTGACGTTATTTGTAGTAATTTGACTAAAGACGACTTTAGATCACTACGATATCTGTTAACGTCACCTAGGATGTTCGGACATGTGTGACCAACTCGTGCCTTTCCGGCACCTTCCGTCTTGAATGTTACGGAAAGTTGCGGTAAATCCGAGATTTATACAGATTGTCTATACAGTCTCCTCTGTTTACAGAATTTCTTTGTTTGTTGTTTTGCAATATTTAATCTGTATCAGCGGCCTGTTCACAAAGGAGTGATGGGATAGTCCAGTGGTTGAAACGTTGGATTGTCCCGCCTACCCCGGCTTGTTGCCACAAATTCCTTTTCTTGGCGTCAATCACTGACATTGCCGATGCACGGTGGCCTTTGCTCCCTTAGGCGTGTCCGGATCTGCTGATCATGTGTTCGGAACCTTGATTAAGTCCCTTGGCTAGTCGGCACCATGCCGTGCTCATCGGTTTCGCGACTTTCCTCTGACATCAAGCCGACACACCGCGATATAACTGAAATGTGTTTATTCAATGCGGCGTTAAAGCCACTGACACTGTAGGCGTCAGGGTTCGGCCGGTCGTCTGAGGCGCCGCAATTCGCTGTGAAGAGTTGCGTCCCTTGGCCACGCCAGAAACCTATGATTATGGATTCGAATCCCGGTTCGCCCAGATCATGTTTCTTGGTTTGTCAGCACCATACCCGTGCTGGTGTGTTTCACTGAAGTGGTAAACGTCTAAGACCTGATTCACTCCGATTTGTCATCCCACATTAAGCTGACACGCCGTGATATAACTTGAATACTGTTCAATATGGCGTTTAACCTGACTCAAAGAAAAAACTCAAAGTACCAATGCTGTCATTTTGCTAACAGTTTATTCATAGTGTTGATTGTTCCTTCACCCTGTATTTCCAGGCAGCGAGGCGCCAGTCTTCCAGTTTGTCACATGCGAGGTGTGTCGAGCCAGCATGGAGAAACTCTACCCTGAGGTGAGTACACCACGACTGACACCAGTGTAGCTGATATTAACATCTGTTAAATACATGCAATAAATGCAATACAAGTAAGCGGTTTATTCCTAAAACAGCTTCACCGATTTGGATGAATTTATGCATTTGTGTGCCCTGACGGGTCGAAAGGAGTGGACCGCCTCCGTGGTCTTGTGGTAGAGCGTCCGCCCGGAGAGCGGAAGGTCCAGGGTTCGATCCCGGGCCGCGTCATACAAAAAGACGTTAAAAGATTGTACTTGTTGTTACCCTGTCTGGCGCTCGGCATTAAGGGGCTAAAACAAGGACTGGTCGGCTCGGAGTCAATATACTGTGTCTGAGTGGGGTATTCATGTTAAACTGCAGCATGGTATCTCAGTGAGCTAGCACTATAAATCGGCATCAGTCCGGACTAGTACAAGCAGCCACACACACACATACACGTGCATGCACGTCGCTATATAAGTGCAATAATCTTGGACGCGACGTTAAACCCAATTACACCTCACCTCTAAAGGAGTGCATGCGCCCGACCGCCCGTGTGCGTTTAACACATCTTTCGAGTCAACCTGTCAGTTCTTTTGTGCTCTTCTTGATATGTGTATCCTGTAATTTAAGATAGTAACGCGATAAATATATATGCCTACTTTTCAGGAATTCAAGAAGATTTGTAGAGTGGCCTGCTCCGAGGAATCAGAAGCCGAACAAATAGCGGAGAGTTTCGCCCAAAAGGTTAAAGTAGCGATCAAGGAACCAGTATGTATTTTAACTGAGTCATATAATTTCAACGTGATAAAATAACAAAATCAACTTTAACAGTAATCCTACTAGGTTGATATATGATCGGTTTACATGTTTCACACAGGTAGGAGCATGTTTATGGTTATAGGGTAAATCTCTCTACTGAAATACAATTAAACCAGCATCAAATGCCACGCAGTTAGCCCCAACTACATCAGCATCATACCCATGAAGATCCAGGCTAGAATTGGTCTTCAGCAACCCGGGTGGTCAGGCTCGATGACTTGGTTGATGCATGCCATCGTATTCAAATTGCGTAGATCGATGTTCATGATGCCAATCACTGGATTGTCTTGTCTGGACTCTTATTTGGACTCGATTATATGCAGACCGCCGTCATATAGCTCGAATAATGCTGAGTGCTGAGTTAAACAATAAAAAACCAAAAAAAATAAATATGGTTGTTCCAGTCTATGGCTTTATAGCGTCACATTGCTTGTCTCGAAGTAGAATATCTCGGTATGTACCCGGTTTTCCCAAGGACTTCGTTTCTCACTGTACCCCTTAGCAAAAAACATAATCTTGGTAGCCGGAGGTAAGTGGAACATTATCTTCAAATAATGAAAGACATGGAATTGTCAAACATCACATGTTAATAATGTTACCATGATGGTTTTTTGAATTTATTGGCCGCCCCGGGCTGCTGTTTGGTTTCGGCCCCTAATTTGCTGTGGGGTGTGTGACCTCTATCAATCATGACCAGGTCTGCTGATCCTGGGTTCGTCAGATTCTCCCAACATGATCATTGATATCAGAGCTACTGGGTTCACTGATGTGGTAAATGTTAAAGACCTGCGTCACTTCAGGCTTTCCTACAACATGTTGGAGGTAACATGTCATATTGTTAGGGCTGTGTTAAACCCAACTCACCCACCCCCATGATTCCAGGACAGCGCTCTGACGTGTGAACTCTGCACGCTGCTGGTGAACACCCTCGACACCTACCTCAAGAACAACCACTCATCGGCCGCCATTAACTCCACGCTCCAAAAGATCTGCAAGTCCCTACCCGCAGCCTTGCAGATTGAGGTACCAGTAACCTTCTCGCCTTCGATTCCGGGCTAGAACTCGTCCCCAGTAAGAGTGTTAGATGCGACTAATGGGTCGGTATGTCAGGTTCGGTGACATTGTCGATTGCGTGTCATCGCACCCTGGCGGTGCTCATGACTTCAACCATTGGTTAGCCTCGCCCGGACTCGATTATTCACTGGAAGCCGTGAAGCTGAAAAAGGGCTGACTGCTTGAAAAATATGTATGTGTTACTAGAAGAGCTATGATTGAACTATATTTTTCAATATGTAATGAATGCTGATTTTCAAATTGAAAATAATTCATTTTACGTTTGTACATCAAAATAACGCGAAAACAATCCAGATTTTGCAGTGACAAGCTGATATATTTAAAGAACCTAGGTTAAGAATAGCTTCTTAATGTGTCGTAGTTTTCTATGTTCACCGCACACTAACGATAAAAAACTATTACCAGTTACGTCATTTAATTCCTCACTGCTTCGTACTCAAAAGATGTTAAGGGCCACCCGATTCTTTCATATTCTTATAGTTAACCTTCACTTCTTTTGAGTAGTATATATATATATATATATATATATATATATATATATATATATATATATATATATATATATATATATTCATATGTATATGACAAAATATTCATTGATTCTGCAACTGTTTCCAGTGCAAAGTGCTGACTCCTCTCTTGGTCAAGGAACTCGCTAAAGGTTTCAACGCAACCGTAGCATGCACCAACATCAAAGCCTGCTCCAAAAACACAGGTGCGACATTTTATCAACGCCAGCCAGATAAAAGCCACAAAACCATTTCCATAATCAAAAGAAATCTCTGTACCATTGTGCCATTCCGCGTACTTCATAAACATGGTGTATGAAGCACTGTGAGATAGTGGTGATACCAGATGTTCGCGAAATGGTGACCAATCCTGCCCCACCGGTGGCACCGTCACAAACACATGCAAAGGCAAATCAGTTGTTCGACTGAAAAGACACGGGAATGTTACGATTTAAAATGTGGATATGCATCAGACATATTTTTTTGTCACCGATACATCAAATTTGGAAATATCCTCTTCCTACCATAATACATTTTGACCGCTTTGCTAAGGTCTGGCCTGATGACGTTCTTTGACATCCTGGCTGAACCGTCTCATGATCTTAAGGTTCTTCTTTACCTTATCTGATCAACGACCATAGTTGTGTCCTGAAAAGGCCACAATCCGTACAAATTAAGACTTTGAATCGTATCTTTTTTGTGTATATTAAACTACCACGAGGTGATCAACTGAGATACGATGGACAGTCCAAACAAATTTGATTTAAGTCGCCTAAACACCACTACAAGTGTCTGCCAGTTAAAAGATTACGATGTGTATTACTCAAGAAACTTTAAAGAACACTTGTGTATTGTTGCGTCCTTTAGGCACGCCAGAAACCTATGATTGGGGGTTCAAATCCCGGTTCGCCCCGATTATGTTTCTAGGTTTGTCAGTACCATACCCGTGCTCGTTGGATTCACCGAAGTGGTAAACGTCTGAGACCTGCATTACTTCGGACTTTCCTCCCACATTAAGCTGACACGCCGTGATATGACTAAGAACCTGTTCAAAGCGGCGTCAAACCCAACTCACTCACTCAGTGTCTCATATGACTACAGTTAATCTGTCATCTGTCAGAGTAGAATATATTAATTTAGCAGTTAATGTTTACCAAATTACACGGAGGCAATGTTTGCTTCGTCCATTAATTATATGATCTAGAACCAGAAAGAAAATTCACACCAGACCTCAGAGCACAGCGCCGGTTTAAGCACACCAGACCTCGGAGCACAGCGCCGGTTTAAGCACACCAGACTTCTATCTTTGCACCTTTTTTTCTCATACAGTTTCATTTCATCTTCTATGTTCATCTCAATCATCCTGTTTCAGGAGAAATTTTGAGCCGTATAGCCCGCAGTCTCACCGAGGAAATGAACAATGTTGGCGGTGTGAAGTGCTCGCTCTGCAAGGACCTGATCGGCGTCATCGACTTAGACATCAATGGTGACAAGGTCAGTATATACAGGGGTGTATGTACGTCTTGTCCGCCGCTTTTAGCAATATTCCAGCTATATCACCGTGGGAGACACGAGAAATGGGCTTCACACATTGTACAAATGTGGGAATCGAACCCGGGCCTTCGGCGTGACTAGCAAATATTTTAACCACAAGGTTGCCCAAGCCTGTCTCCCGACGTGGTGGGTCGTAGGTCATAATACCAGTGGATTGTCTGGTCCAGATTCGATATACAGGCCGGGGGGTATGTAGCTGGAATATATGGTCAAGTCAACATAGCTGATCGCACTTACATGTTATTTTTGTCAGTGATGCGTCAAATTTGGAAACGTTTTTCTTTTTTAAAAGTTTTCCTATCTTAACTATGGACACACACACACACACACACACACACACACACACACACACACACACGACACACTGTAGTCTGTGGGGAACAGCCAGAAAACTATATGTACAGTATGAAGCTCACGGGGTATACGTTTCCTGGCTGTATGTTATATATATTTTCAGGCGAAGACAAAGAAGCAGTTTGAAGATGTCTGCCACCGACTTCCCCCACCCACAGATCAGAAGGTGAGTTGAAGTGCCCAAAACGGCCGATTGTACGATTCCGACTATATGTGCATGTGTTTATGAATCACTATCAAATGCTGATGCTATAAAGCGTTCGCGAAAAGGTGAGCACCGGTGGAACCCGTCACAAACACATGCAAAGGCAAGTCAATTGTTCACCTGAAACAACTCGGGAACATATGGTATAAGTCAAAAAAGGGAATTGCATCGGACTTATTTTTTATCGCCAATGCGTCAAATTTGGAATGGCTAGTACAGCTCATCTTCCCGAGGCAAGCGTGTCCACTAGCCTATACCAAAGCCTAGTTTCTACCCTTGCCACAGGAAGGCCACTTTTCTTGGCTCGACCCTTGCGCCACCTCGCGTAAATCACGAGTTGTGCCCCTTGTGATGAAAACGCGATATCCAATCAGATCGCTCGCTGTTCTTATCTCGTAAAGCTTCACAGAGATGGCGACTACCATAGGCAACAACCTAGTCGATCGATCACCCCTAACACATAGGCAATCGTTGGGGGGTTTAAAAGATGAAAAAGACATATTCGTGTCTACAAAAAGACAGCGGTAAATCAGTTTCATACGAATGTGTACCAGTCGTGGATGTTGATTGTTAAACGTTCCCTGATTGGACTACCGATATGCGCGATGGTCCTATCATATTTAACACAGGAGAGTGGCCTAGATGTGGCAAGGGTGAAAACAAAACTTTAATGATAAAAAAGGCTAGTGGATGCTCTTGCCTCGGGAAGATGAGTACGGCTGAGAAAACGAGCTTCCGGCTTCGTCTACATGGAATAGGTTACCGAAATAGACATATGATGAGTTTTTCATTAATGGTTGTTGTTTCTTTGTACAACACCATCTTACGGTACACTATATATTATAACAACTGAACAGTTGGATAGGTCATATAGCCGGTAGTTAACATTGAAGCTCTCGCCGGCTAACCATAAAACACGCTAAGCACCTAAAGAGAAGCAAATCGCAACGCTTAGTTCCTTAATTCTTTACTTATGCACACTATATATTGTAGTCCTACCTAATATCCATGTGAATCACAAACATCGACAGTTTATATATGTTTCAATTTCGATGAAAATCTTAATTCATTCATTGTGGCCTAAAATTACATGTTGACGACTTGACACATACTGAACATGCCATTGTATGTTCTAGTGTCTCGACTTTGTGGTGCCAAACTTCCCCAAGATATGGAAGGAGATCGTCGATGGCAAGCTTGCCCCCGAGAAAGTGTGCCAGACAATCAAGCTGTGTTAGGACCACTGTCATTGACAGCGCCACAGCTGTATTTACATCGTTGCCAAGGAAACCGGTGGCCATCTTGAAAATGGCAGCCGTCTTGAAAAATGTGTTGCCAGTTCTGGTGTTATTACTACCATAAACAGTTGATTTAGAAGTGTATAAATCAGACAATACGAATATATGTATATACATTAATTGCTCAATTTGCACAACATGGCAGCTGGCGTTCTTACTTGTAATCAGAAAATTGACATTAACAGCCGAAGTTCTTGTCTCCATAGAAACAATGAAACTATTAATATCATATCAGAATGTACATATTTCTATTCCTACCAATATCCATATTTATATAAACTATTATAATATAACGGCGTGATTTTGTATATATTTGAAATATGTAGAATTAGGTATTCTAATGTATGTCCAAATATATTCTATATTGTTGATTTTTATTATACAATTTGTAAATATATGATTAATTCTAATAAACATGTGAAACTGCCGTTCAAAAAAGCCTCATAGTATATATATAGTCGCTTTTTACGGCAAGCATTGGTTGCTGAAGACCTATTTTACCCCGGATCTTCACGGGTCGATGCCTAGAGAGGGGGTTTGGATCCCCACTACATTTAACGACTGAACTGCATAACACAGGCCAGATTCGCAGGGGACTGGGTTAACTGGTTCCGCGCTGCTGTTCATTCCCTGGAGTAAACGAGGACATAGTCTGCGCAGCATTCGTTAGGCACCAGTGGAATGGATGGTGGAAACTGTCGGTAGGATGGCACAGATAAAGAGTTGCTAATCTTATATCATACAAGCCTCCTCTTCGACCTGTGAAGATCCGGGGTAGAATAGGTCTTCAGCAACCCTTGCTTGCCGTAAAAAGCGACTATGCTTGTCGTAAGAGGTGACTAACAGGATCGGGTGGTCAGGCTCGCTGACTTGGTTGATGCATGTCATCTATCCCAATTGTGTGGATCGATGCTCATCATATTAATCACTGGATTTTCTGGTCCAGACTCGATTATTTAGAGACCGCCGTCATATAGCTGGAATATTGCTGAGTGCGGCGTTAAACAACAAACCAAACAACCAACAAGCCTTCACTTCACTTCCATAGACAGTAGGGGAAAAGTCGCGGCCGTGTGGCCGAGGTACCATGGGTAATCGGTCAGATTTACCGGAAATAAGATCATCCACACAAAAAGAGGCAATGTACCACGAAGGTGTAATGGAGCTTGTCAATTACAAAATCAGGGGTGGCTACTTCCTTTCTCGACTTACGTCATTCGACGTAAACCGTCATGAATCTGAGTGAGTGAGTGAGTGAGTGAGTGAGTGAATTGGGTTTAACGCCCCTTTGAACAGTATTCCAGTTATATCACGGCGAGTGAGCTTAATGTGGGAAGAAAGCCCGAAGTGATGTAGGGCTCAGATATTTACCACGTCGATGAAACCCACGTGCACGGGTATGGTACTGACAAATCAAGACACATAATCTAGGAGAACCGGGATTCGAACCCACAATCATAGGTTTCTGGTGGGTCCAAGGGACGCAACTCTGCACAGTGGATTGCGGTGCCTTACACGACTGAGCCGCGTGAAAGTGAATGGCGCCATTCTGTGTGGTACTATTACTGTAGTGTGTTGTATAATCATGTCAGATTGAAATCAATCCCTCACATCTGTGTGTCGTTAAGTAAAAATCAATATACCAACGTATTGTTTATATATAATCAAAGCCCGTGTTTGACGTGTAGTTTCACGAAGAGATTAATTTAACGCCGTTATATAAATAGATGCACTATCATGCTTTGAAAATCTATACTTTGCGTTGGTTCGAAACCGAGATATGCGTGGATTTATATATGCCCGACTGTAGTCTGTAGTATCAAGAGTTAAAGACACAGTCAGTAATATTCCAGGTTTTTAACAGCTGCTTGTAAATATTCAAGTGGCCATCCTTATGTCTGGATTGAGAAAGTGAGTGAGTGAGTATGGTTTTACGCCGCTTTCAGCAAACATCAAAATCACGGCGGAGGACACCAGAAATGAGCTTAATACAATGTACTTATTTGGGGAATCGAACCCTGGTCCTCGGCGTGACGAGCGAACCCTTTAACCATAAGCCTACCCCACCGCCCCCTTGACCTCGACCAGAATGACAGACCTGACTTGACCAGAGTATTTTCCTTCCTAAATCCTCGCGTTTATAAGGTAGCTTTGTTATCTACCTTCTCTCTTACATGTACTCCATGTTTTCATAGATGTCTCGCACACTAAATCTCTAACATGTACACTCACATACACTCGTACAATCCTTCGTTTTTTGAAGCATCATGTATGACTTGACCTGTGTTTATTCTGGGTCTCAGTAGGCACAAAGTCGAATGTGTGACTTTACAACTGACCAAAATAAGGATCGTATGGTCACAATATGTGATTGTGTGATGCTACCAACCACTGATTCGTCTGGGGACTACATGGGTCCGGCGCTCGGGCTAGAATGCGTACCATCGTACCCCGGTGGACTTGAATGGTTTCTGACATGGTCGTATGGTAAAGGGTTTGATGCACCACTCGTAGGGTTTTGCCTGGTGGTAATACCCAATAAAACCACATGTACCCCGAGTGATTCTTCTACAATGTATAATGTACCTCGAGTGATACTTCTACGACGTATAATGTACCCCGAGTGATACTTTTACAACGTATAATGTTCCCCGAGTGATATTGCTACAACGTATAATGTACCCCGAGTGATACTGCTACAACGTATAATGTACCCCGAGGGATACCTTTACAACGTATAATGTACCCCGAGTGATACTGCTACAACGTATAATGTTCCCCGAGTGATACTGCTACAACGTATAATTTACCCCGGGTGATACTTCTACAACTTATAATGTACCCCGAGTGATACTGCTACAACGTATAATGTACTCCGAGTGATATTGCTACAACGTATAATGTACCCCGAGTGATATTGCTACAATGTATAATGTACCCCGAGTGATACTTCGACAACTTAAAATGCACCCCGAGTGATACTTCTACTACTTATAATGTACCCCGAGTGATACTTCTACAATGTATAACGTACCCCGAGTGATACTTCTACAATGTATAATGTACCCCGAGTGATACTTCTACTACTTATAATGTACCCCGAGTGATACTTCTACGACGTATAATTTACCCCGAGTGATACTTCTACAACGTATAATGTTCCCCGAGTGATACTGCTAAAACGTATAATATTCCCCGAGTGATACTGCTACAACGTATAATGTACCCCGAGTGATATTGCTACAACGTATAAAACCTCCAGGTTAGAACAGGTCCCCGGCAACCTATGCTGGTCGTAAGAGGCGACCTAATGGATCGTGTTATCGTACCCCGACGGCGTGGAACGTTGCGAACAATGTGGGCCACTTCACTGTAACTTGCTTATTTACAAGCAGGCGTCAGAAAGTTGGAAAACAATGAATTTCCGAGTGCTGCGTCAAACGACAAAGACACGTGAAACATCCCCGTTTAACCCTGGGACACCTCCCAAGTTGGCTGGTTGAAAGAGGCGACTACATGTATGGGGTGGTCAGGCTCGGTGACCTGTGTGTGTGTGTCATCGTGCCACGACGGCTCGCTTGGTTGCAGTCATCAACCACTGGTTCTTGGTGGCACATGCGAGAATATTTACACGCCGTCATGATACTGCTACTTGTGGCGACAAACAAATAAACAAACAAACAAACAAATAAAGCTTCCCTTCGTGTCTGACACAATACTCTATACGTCGATGTTTCATGTTCACATTAGTGAAGTTAAATGGCAACGCCTTTTCCTTAGTTGACGGGAATAAAGAACAAAAGACAACCTGGTATTTTGTACATAAGGAAAATAGTCGTTCTGGACGTAGAGGTAATTACAGTGGAATCTGTTCTGTCAACTCGTTAGGTCTGTACACAGTTCCTGATCACTCAATGGGGGTGCTTAATGTCTTCCATAGTTTCCGCGAGTTATTTGACTACAAGGAAGATCAAATACACCACAATATGGAAGATCAAATACACCACTACATGGAAGATCAAATACACCACAATATGGAAGATCAAATACACCACTACATGGAAGATCAAATACACCACAATGTGGAAGATCAAATACACCACAATGTGGAAGATCACAATACACCACAATATGGAAGATCAAATACACCACTACATGGAAGATCAAATACACCACAATATGGAAGATCAAATACACCACAACATGGAAGATCAAATACACCACAATGTGGAAGATCACAATACACCACTACATGGAAGATCACAATACACCACTACATGGAAGATCACAATACAATACATCACAACGTGGAAGATCACAATACATCACAATGTGGAAGATCACAATACAATACATCACAACGTGGAAGATCACAATACACCACAACGTGGAAGATCACAATACACCACAACGTGGAAGATCACAATACACCACAACGTGGAAGATCACAATACACCACAATGTGGAAGATCACAATACACCACAACGTGGAAGATCACAATACACCACAATGTGGAAGATCACAATACATCACTACATGGAAGATCACAATACACCACAATGTGGAAGATCACAATACACCACAACGTGGAAGATCAAATACACCACAATGTGGAAGATCAAATACACCACAACGTGGAAGATCACAATACACCACTACATGGAAGATCACAATACACCACAACGTGGAAGATCAAATACACCACAACGTGGAAGATGACAATACACCACAACGTGGAAGATCACAATACACCACTACATGGAAGATCACAATACACCACAACGTGGAAGATCAAATACACCACTACATGGAAGATCACAATACACCACTACATGGAAGATCACAATACACCACAACGTGGAAGATCACAATACACCACTACATGGAAGATCACAATACACCACAACGTGGAAGATCACAATACACCACAACGTGGAAGATCAAATACACCACAATGTGGAAGATCAAATACACCACAACATGGAAGATCACAATACATCACAACGTGGAAGATCACAATACACCACAACATGGAAGATCACAATACACCACAACATGGAAGATCACAATACACCACAACATGGAAGATCACAATACACCACAACGTGGAAGATCACAATACACCACAATGTGGAAGATCACAATACACCACAACATGGAAGATCACAATACACCACAACATGGAAGATCACAATACACCACAACGTGGAAGATCACAATACACCACAACATGGAAGATCACAATACACCACAACATGGAAGATCACAATACACCACAACGTGGAAGATCACAATACACCACAACGTGGAAGATCACAATACACCACTACATGGAAGATCACAATACACCACTACATGGAAGATCACAATACACCACTACATGGAAGATCACAATACACCACTACATGGAAGATCAAATACACCACT